CACCCTGCCCACCGCTGCCACGCAACCCCTGCTAAAAACATTTTTGTTTGGATAAACCTAACCAGATATGTAGAATGTTGGCATGTGCTTTTATCTTATCAATGACTTTAATTATTTTTGAATGTTTTAAAATAGCTGCTTTTAACTCTCTTTTTTTACGGATAATTTTATCGTTCTATTTTTTTGTATAGGTTTGTAAAAACAAACAAACAAAAAACCCCCAAGCGGTATATAAATTTTATGATATAATTTTTAAAAAGGATTTTTTATTTCTTTCCTGCCTTTCACCCAAAGGTCCCAGGGTGAGTTACGGCATTAAAACCCAATATTAAAAGCAAACTTTTAAAACAACTTTCTTTAAAAATGTGCAAATTATTTTCTTTCTTTTTTGCACAGCAAAATGTTCCAGCTAGAAAATGCTTGAAAATGTTCAAGTGATACTTGTGAGCATGCTCAAAATGATATCCAGCTTGGACCAACAGCAGAAAACAGAGTGGGGGGTGGGCGGGGTCTGCCTCCCCTGTCTGGCTTGTGGGTTACCTGATGGGCTACTGTAGGGAGCAGGATGCTGCACTAGGAAGCCTGTTGGGATGGTCCAACAGGGCTCCTCTTGTGCTGTTAGGTATACAGGTTGAGCATATGTCGTAACAAAAACAGCAGTACCCCGATCACAAAGCCGATAAGCAAAAGTAAATCGCAGTTGTTTTTAAAATTCTGCCTAGCAATTATTCTGAGCAAGCGAACAGATCCGCGAGAGAAAAAGAAATAAAAGAGGGTTTTTTTGTTATTGTTTTTAAATTACAGCTTGAATACTAACAGAGAAACGACCTTTCCATGAGATACTCTCAAAGGCTGCAGAAACCAGCTGAAAAAATGCAGAGGAAGACTTGAAACGTTGGAGAGTGCCCTCTGGTGGCCGACACACACACAACTTCTTAAAACAATATTGTTTCCAAACCCCAACCACAGCCCAAATAAGCAACTGTAAACGCGGGGGAAGGCAAGTGAGAGCAAAACCCTTGCCCAAGGCAGTATTATGCTCACCAGGTGCTCTGAAAGGCCTCTCTGCAGTGTTTGAGCTCTGATTCTAGTTTCATACATTAAAGTCATCCTTTTGATGTCGCAGTTCTCAAGGGATGAAAAAGCATGGGTAATGCAAAGGTATGCCATTTCCATCATCGCCACCACCACGGCCCCAAATTGAGAGAATATTTGCATCTAGCAACATCTGACCAGGTATACTTTCCACTCATAGTAAACCACTTTCAAGTACTGTTATTTCAGTGAACAAATAAATGAAGTTTTAAAGAAACATTTTTTCTTGGGGGTGGGGGAGGAACTTTGTAAGATCAAAAGATGCCCTTACCAACAGAGCCTGAAAGCAGGATAACTACCCTTGTAAACTCTGGCCTAGTTCACTGCATCCGATTCATTTGTTTTACCATTATTCATTCATCAAAGTGATAAGCACTCACAGGTGCAAATGCAAAACCAGTTTATGGAGGGGAGTGCACAGGAAAGGTCAGTGGGAAAACTGCTGGAGGGTGAGGCTTTCATTGATAAAATAAATGCAGATGTGTTCCTACACAAGGTTCTGTCAAGGAAGAATAATTATGATTCCAATGAGATCTCTGCCCCCCCCCCATTCTCAAGTATAATAGAAAGCAATCTGTTCTCAAAATGGATCAAACAGGAAATATCAGTATCTAGCAGATAAAGAGCATATCATTTATTATTGATGAAATTTGTGGTTCAATTGCAACAAATACTGAGCATTTAATACCAAGTTTTCCGTCAATAAATGCATCCCCTATGATATGCAATACTACTTGCCATCACTTGGGAGACCCAACTGATGCTTTATTCAGTAAGAATTCCAGCTTTGCCTTTCAATGTGACCTACTGCGTTCTCTACTCACAGACAACCCATGCACATTAATGGAACTTCTGCTGACGCAGTGCTGCAAGGATCAGACCAGTGTAATACGTGAATTTATTTCTCAATCAACAAGAAAACAGTCTTTGATAAGTGCAGTGCAGTCCTACGTCTCTCTGTTCAGAAGCATCCCCTCCCCACTTAATTCAATGAGACTTACTCATAGGTAAGCGTGTATAGGATTTCAGCCAGAATGGTACAAAACTACAAGGGAAAAAAGAACAAAGCCTAGGGGATAAAAAGAAAGCAGAGGCAAATGCTGTCATTCATTAAGTCTCTTGATTAAAGCCTTGACTGTTACTTCACTCTTGAGCTGTTTCACACACACATCCAAGCAACTGGACTAAAGGATACACATGATGCTTAAGAAAACTGTGAAATCTCTTCCTTTGTTTGAAACAGCATAGCAAAATCACAGCTGTATTTCTAACAGCAAAAGCCCTCTGATATAAGGAAAGCTGTTAAGAGCGTGGCTTTCAGTTCCATTCTGGAGTCGTGATTTTGTCTTTTATGGCAGGTACAACTAAGAGAAATAATCTGAAATGATCTAGAACGAGATTGTCTTTTACTAAAGGTCACACCAGTCTTGTCCATCAATGCACTTCTGTTACAAGCACATTGTCCCTGGTTCTCAGCATGAACTCTACATAGCTTTGGATACAGGAGGAATACAGAGACCCTCTTGTGTGGAATGTGCTCTAGTGCATTCATTGTGCGGAGAAGGGGAAAATGTTCTGCTTATGTCAGTGCCCTGCAGAGACTGGAGAACTGCTGGTGCTGCCGTCACTGGGCACCAAAACCAGGGCACAGATTGTGCACCAAAGCCAGAGTCAGCCACTAAGGAGCCAGCTATTTGTTTCACAACAAAGCACTGCAAGTAAGTAGTAGTTGAGGGCTGGGTAGAGATTAGATCAGAAATCAACACCAACACATACAGTAACTTGAAGACACGCTGCGAAGTTCAGTAACCCCCAAATTCAGGACATCAACCAAGTGTGGGCTGTGGACCTCATTACACTTGGTTTCTGTTACCCTAAAGGTGGAAAAGTACCAAATTATCTCCTAGGCGAGATCCACATTGCAGCCCCTGCATTTGCAAGGCAGGGTTGCCTTGGGGATTTTTGCAAATGCAATTGCTGCTCACCATGGAGCACATTCATAACTCGAGTCCATACTACCTGCCACTGGGAAGCACAATAAAAAGTGGGAGGATCTATGTGGCATTTGAGATGTCTTTTTAAAAATTATGTACTCAGGGTTTATGTAGACTGCTTGGTTGTAAAAGCAACAGCAACTTCTAAGTAGATTACCAAAATACATCCCCTGCCATCACTGATTCTCCACCTCCCACTGCGTGTTACATAGCCTGTTTCTTTCCTTATGCCTAATTCTCTTTCCCATGCCATACCCTGGCAGGGCGAGCCATTCACTGTGTATCCATCCATTCAAGGCAGCAGCAAGCACAGAGTGAATCAAAAGGAGGCAAGGAGCAACTTAAAAAACACCAGCCCTGGTTCAAAAAATAATCTATCCCAGTCTTATAAACTGGAACACAGAAGAAGCTGGATTTTCAACCAACCAGCCAATCAAAATCCAATGCATATGGTACCTTAGGAAACAAATTCAGCACCTTAAAGCAGCTTTTCCAACCTGGTGCTCTGAAGATGCTTTGAACTACAACTTCCATCTAGCTGATGGAAGCAGCACAACATAGCTATGCCAGTCACATTAAATCACCACCGTATTTTAAAGACAGGGAGAAACTCCACTGGTAGGATTCCCAGCCTAAATAAGGACACACTTTCTCTGCACCTTGTGCTCTTGGTTACTTATTAGTTTTCCACGCTAATAGCAGAAGCACATGCACGATAAATGAGAAGCAAATCACGTCTGAGAGGTAACATGATTTATGCAATTGGCATTTAGCTATAGATCCATGGTACTGCTAAGCAATACTTTAATTCCTTCAAATATGGACCAGTTGGCTAGCAGTACATAAGCCACCAATTATGGCTGCGAAAGGACAATTTCAATGGGATATGGATGGGATCCTAACAGAAGCATCACAGAAGGAAGGAAGGATTTTCTTGAAGTGGATTGTGCCCAAGTAAGCCATAAGGAAAGTGTTGTGTATCCATATATAGGCATCTTTGGAATAAATGCCATATTAGATCTGCTTCTCGTTACCGACATCTGTTTGAAATACATAGTAACATATTACATAGATTAAATTATGTGCGCATGGGCTTAGCACACAACTTTTCTCTTTAAAATCCACAGAATGGGAGACTTGCAAAGGATCAGCCCCCTTGCCCATGTGCTTTGAGTAAATAAGTGCAGTGCACATTTTGTACTCGCTATACTACTGATAGGGGACGCGGGTGGCGCTGTGGGCAAAAGCCTCAGCACCTAGGGCTTGCCGATCGAAAGGTCGGCAGTTTGAATCCCCGCGGCGGGGTGCGCTCCCATTGCTCGGTCCCAGCGCCTGCCAACCTAGCAGTTCGAAAGCACCCCCAGGTGCAAGTAGATAAATAGGGACCGCTTACTGGCGGGAAGGTAAACGGCGTTTCCGTGTGCTGCGCTGGCTCGCCAGATGCAGCTTTGTCATGCTGGCCACGTGACCCGGAAGTGTCTCCGGACAGCGCTGGCCCCTGGCCTCTTAAGTGAGATGGGCGCACAACCCCAGAGTCTGTCAAGACTGGCCCGTACGGGCAGGGGTACCTTTACTTTTACCTATACTACTGATACTTGCAGCAAGATTAATTTAGATTAGATATACAGCCTTGTTTGCCACTGGATACGGGGAGGGGGACCTTTTTAGCAATTCAAATACATGTACAAACCTGTAACTTTAATGGAATTATGTGCTTTATATAATTGTTTCAACAATTACTGCCTATGCATTTCTTAATTCCTTCAAATATGAACCAGTTGGCTAGCAGTACATAAGCCACCAAAGAAGAACTATTTCTTTTAAGGGCATCTGTCCAATACTTACCCAGTTTTTCACACACCCATGTGAAACTACTTGCATTTACTAAATAATTAGATCAAGGCAAAGTAGGAACCTGCTAACTGATACTTTATTGAAGGACAGCAATGAAGATCACAGATTTTAAATAGCGTATGTATGGTGCCAAAGCCCATCTCCTCCATCAATCATTTTAAGCTGTGCAGTTTCTTTGGACTGGGCAAAGAAATAAAACCCCTTATTGAACAAATACGTATGTACTCCCCCAATTATTGTGATATAATACAACAATGAAAAAACTAATTTATGTTGAGGGACCTATAGCAAATAATTAAACGAAATTCTCCAGTAAAATACCATGAACCAAACAGCTTTGGGTTATTCTGTATTACTAGATGAACAGAGCTCATTCATAGTCTCTGCACAAAAAGCTGTGGTATGTTACTTACGCCACAAAATGTAAATTTCACAGCTGGAAGACAATGAAAGGCGTAGCCCAAAAGCCACATTCTGAAATGGAACCAGCCTGGGATAAATGATTTGAGGTGCTTTATGGCCTAAGCATTGCAATGCAGCAAGCATTAAAAGGAAGATGGAGAAGAGAAAACTATGCAATAGCTCTTTTTAAAGGCATGATTTTTCTCAGGTGGGAGGTATTAATAGGAAGATGACTATAATTACACCTGGTGGAATCAAGCATTTGTGCAGTAGACTGACTGAAAGAGAAATCTAAATAAAAAAACCTATGCTTCATTGTCAGGGGTTATTCCTCCCTCGGTTTAACCAAGTGGTATCTAAAATATGCCAACAAAACAGTCAGTGGAATCAGACATCTTGGAGGAGAAGAGGAATTAGTTGCAATGGCACCTGATCTGGTGCTTGCCTCAAGGCAATGCTCCATAGTAGTCTACTATCTTCAACACAGTAGTCTGCTAACTCCATAGCTGTCTACTAACTTCTGTTTGAGGACAGCAGTCTGGGCGTCCTAAAAGTACCACATTTAAGGACGCCAAGATTTAGAAAACCTGTATGTTCTTTGTAATTACCTTGAATCCTAACTAGGTTTCTGTGAATGGAGAGGATCCTTCCATTCACTGATGGGACTCGGATCTAGTGCATGATTCTGCTGGCAGAAAGGGGCAAGGCATTTTCTCCAGTTCTTCATTCCCATGTCTCATGCTGCTTTGGAGAACTGTCCAAACAAGGTTTTTGGGACAGGGCAGGAGGGATGGGACTACAAAAGGAAGGAGAAAATTACTGAAGGTCACTTCTCCTGTTCTGCTGACAGAAGTATCACATGAGTGGAACTTTGCTCAGAGGATGCTTCCACCAGCAGGAGTAAGCTCAGGATCCCAGCATTTGTAAAGAGGCCATTTTGTAGGTTCATTTAGGCAAGATTAAAACAGATTTCATTTTCAGCATTTTGCAGTGCCATTTTGAGGAGGAAGCAGAAGTTCTTTTTAAGATTTCAGTTTCCTCTTGCTTTCTTCATCCCAGTCAAAGTCTAGGGTGGAATCATCAAAATCAGCTATTGAGAACAAAGATTTCCCTGTGCCAGGGCTGGCTCTTCCCAGTTCAAAGCACTTCCTTGAGTGCCCCACGCTATTGGAGGTTTGGGCTTCCAATGGCTCCCTCTGTTTGTCCCTGTCATTACTGGTGACATGCAACAAAACTGGAGACTTTGGCTTTGATTCAGCTGATGGCTTGAAGGCAAAGCTGGCTAATTTTGCCAGTATACTGGAGCACACTTTTTTCGTGTTCGCACCATCTGATATTTCCTCTCTCATTCTTGCCTTTTTTGTGGAGGAAGGGAGTGAATGATCGTTTTGCTCCTCCTCCTCTCTTTGGTTATCACAGGGGCGTTTCTCCATTCTATTATTTCCCACCTTAGTATTGTGTTCCTTGTGGTGTTTCTCAGGACAGCCTTCTCCCCTTGGCTTCCCCACTTTTGACACAGTTTTGGTAGAAGTGTGAGGGCTGCAGACAGTATCAGGCAATTGGGCATGATTTTCATTTTCAGAAGGCCAAGCAAGCTTTGGCTTCTGCTTACGTTGGAACTTAGCTACTTTAGCAGCTGCAGGTCCCAAATCTTCCAGGATTCCAGGTTTAGTAGAACTTCCTGCTTCACCTTTATTTGTTTGGCCTCTGTTTCGCTTTCTGGTTGAAGTAGCAGACTTCTGTTGCCTGTGAGGTGGTGAAGCACCCAAGTCTGTTCTGGGGTGTTGTGGAACAGCAGCTGGACCAGGAGAAAATAAAGTTGGAGAACACTCAACCTTCGGATCTGGGGTACTTGCACAAAACCCATTAACTCCTTCAATGTTTTCCCTGTGCCATTTCTTAGAGGCCCTGTGAGTAATCACTAAATCAGGTGAGGTACAATCCGCTGCATTTGGGCCTTTGTCACTTGCTCCTGAAGGTAAGCTTGTGGACTTGGTTGCCTTCCCCCCATCAAGACTAGAGGCAGCCTGTCTGCAAGCATTTCCCAGGGCTATTGTTGTTGGTGTGGTTTGCTTGGCTTCACTTAAGTCATTTCTTTCTTTAGAGCAGGGTTTGTTGTGTGGGGCTTTCAAAGACGTTCTTGCAGTTGGAGACATTCTTGCAACTGGAGACTCATAAATGCTCTTCTCAGCTTCAGCGCTGCTGTCCGTCATACTGTCAAACCAGCTCAAGCTACTGTCCTTGCTGCATTCACTGGGTTTGCCCCATTCCTTTGTTACTCTGTTATCATCAGATGTCTGGCTGCTTGAGAATATTGGATGCTTATCAGGTTGCAATTGTATATTATTGCCCTCTTGGTCTGAATGTTGTGGATGAGACATCTGCTCCAGTTTCTCAAGTGTGCGATTGTTTGAGGATGCCTCTTTGGACTGCAGAAACTGAGACAAATTTTCATTCTTCAATCTGCAAAACAAAAACAAAATATATTTTACAAAAATAAACTACATTTTCCCCTTCCCTGATCCTATGAAATGCAGGATCTGATCCATCTATGTTTGAGTTTACAGCCCTAATTATTTATTTTGATTTTGGTAAGCATATAAGTAAATGTAAGCAACTGTCTAATTACAGAGTTATTATTCGGCACCATGCGCCTTCACTTTGATACCCTGGACAGTAAGTTTATTAGTGGCCATCCTATGCTACTGCCTATTGCAATAGCACATGTGTTGCCTGAATCCACTGTGATTTGCAAGGGCTTTTTTTTGCCTCCCGTATAAATGTTTATCACCTGTCAAGTCTTTGGAATTCTTCACGCAGAATGTCCTGGAGTTCCAGCTTCTCGAGGATCAGTTTACACTGCATTCGATACTGCTCCAGTGGATTTTCAGGAAATGATGTGTGCAGTGCATTGACACCTCCAAGGAGTGCACCTCCCTACAGGAAAGAAGAAGAGAGAAATACAATGCAAATGAACTTTAATTAGATATGTCTGTGTGTAAACTTATCTGCCGTTAAAAGGGTTATGACACAGCACACAGATCGGCAGGCTTTCTAGCACTGAATAAAACTGCTATCAAACTAACCCTGTATCTTTAGCTTATAAAAACAGGCATTTGCACCCTTCTTCAGTGCAGCATGTGTGGCCACAATGACACGCACAGGGACCTTCCATTCTGCCTGCACAAGGCTCTCCTTCTTCCCTGATGCCTTGCTCACCATCATGGTTTCAGTAGTGGTGGTGGTAGGACAGTAGAAGCAGAAGACATTTTATTTACAGGCTCAAATGCACAAAACTGAGGGCTAATGTTAGGAATTGTTGAAGATTAGTTCTGAGGTGTGGAAACGTGGTCTCCTTGTTGCGTTGTGAAGCTTGCTTCCGATCACATGTACCACAAAGAACTGTTTCAGCTGCCAGTCTCTACAAGGAAACTCACCTGCATTGAAGACTCCATCACTGAAACCACGGTTACTGCATCTTCCACAGTCACAGTATCTCTAAACATCAACCGAGCATGTGCTAAAAACAAACAACAACAACAAATGTTGCTGAAACTGATGAGCAGATGGTTAGGTTAAATTTATTAAATGCATATGCCACCTATTTAGAAAGCTCTAGATAGAAAGCGATAATGGAATTACACTAGCAACAGTTTTTGATTTAAATCTTTAAAAAGTACTGTTGCACACCACCCCAACCTCTGAGCAGTGTGAGATTCCAGGGGTTCCAGGCGCTTACTTACACCCACCAACTGAAGCACTACTTACCCATATTAGGGCTCCTGGTGGTGGGTGTAGTATTTAAAAGCCTCTCAATCCGTGTTACAACTCACACATTTGCAAGCCAGAGTGGCCATAGCCTAGCTACAGCATACAATGCTGGGGCATGGAAACCCTATATATGCAGGTGCTGCTGCACTGTATAAAACCCTTTTAGAGGTTCACCATACTGAGTGCCAACAGAAACAACCATTTGTTGTAGCCTCTTAGGAGTTTAGTCCAATCAGTTGTATGACCTGGTTCCAGCACTGCCACGAACGTTTCCCAATTCATTTTGTGTGATGTAAGTGCTAGAAAAGGACGAGGAAACCCAAGCTCTCACCTTCAGCTAATCGTATCAAGCTCTCTAATAAGCGGATGGTGGTTCGCGCAGCGTTCCTGCAATCGCTCTGCCTCTGCATCTGATAATAGCGGACAAGAATCAAGTTGCTTTCATCAGTCAATACCGGCTGCAGGTTCTTTATAAGGCAGAAATATGTTTTCATTTTTTCCATAGTCCACAGCTTTTCAGACACACTTGGGCAAGCTGCATGAGAAGAGTTTGCAGAAAGAACTGCATTAACAAAATAAGACATAGAGTAGAAATCAATAGACTTCATAATGACTACGCCATAGTTGGCTCCAACCCTCTGGTGCACTTATTCTGCATGAGCACAAATGGATATATAGTCTAGGTCAGTGTTTCCCAACCGGTGTTCCGCGGCACACTAGTGTGCCGTGAGACCTTGCCTGGTGTGCCGTGGGAGGGAGGCGGGAGAGGCGGGGCGGCGGCGGCATCTCCTGCTGGATGCAAATCCAAACATGGCGGGCGCCTCCCTCGCTCCTTTGTAGGCGGACCATCGAGAGAGAAAGAAAAGGAGGCGAAAGAGCGAGAGAAGGCGCCTGCGCGGAAAGAGGAGCGAGCAGTGCGCCTGCGCGCCGCGGCGCCCGAGATCGCTTCTCCCCACCGCCCCTTGCTTCAAAAGAGGTCCGGGGACAGCGGGAAGCGCTTCGCGCTGCCCCCGGACCTCTTTTGAAGCAAGGGTTTGCGGGGAGAAGCGATCTCCCCGCAGCCCCTTGCTTCAAAAGAGGTCCGGGGGCAGCGGGAAGCGCAGCGCTTCTTCCCCGCTGCCCCCGGACCTCTTTTGAAGCAAGGGGCTGCGGGGAGATCGCTTCTCCCGGTGCTCCGAAGCGGGGCGGGGGGGCGGGAACACCTGCCCCAGCCGCCCCGCTTCGGAGCGATGCCCCGATGCCGGGCGGTGGGGCAGGAACCTCTCCCCCCGCCGCCGGGCATCGGAACGATGCCCCGATGCCGGGCGGTGGGGCGGGAACCTCGCACCCCGCCACCGGGCATCGGAATGAGGTCCTGGACCTCTTCTGAAGGCAGGCGGGGGCAAAAGTCTTTGCTCCCCCCGCCTGCCTTCCCGGGACAGCGGAGACTTCTCCGCTGCCCCGGGCGATCTTAAAATGCTGGCGGGCGGGAGCGAAGCGTTCGCTGCCGACCCCCAGCATTTTAAAATCTCCTCGGGGCAGCGGAGACTTCGCTCCCGCCCGCCAGCATTTTAAAATCGCCCTGGGACAGCAGGGGCTTTTAAAATGCTGGCGGTCGGCAGCAAAGCCCTCCTGTCCCCGGAGCTTGCGGGGCGGGAGGTGGGAAGAAGGGCTTTTCTTCCCACCGCCAGCCTTCAGAACAGCCTTCTGAAGGCTGGCAGTGGGAAGAAAAGCCCTTGTCCCCCCCCCCAGCCTTCAGAAGAGGTCGGGGGACAGACTGTCCCCGGACCTGGTCTGAAGGCGGTTTCCCTAGGAACGCATTAATTGATTTTCAATGCATTCCTATGGGAAATCGTGCATCGCAAGACGAAAAACTCGCAAGACGAAGAGACTTGCGGAACGAATTAATTTCGTCTTGCGAGGCACCACTGTACTTTTTATATAGTCAATATAGGCACAGAGTTAATTTTTTAACATTTTCTAATGGTGGTGTGCCTCGAGATTTTTTTCATGAAACAAGTGTGCCTTTGCCCAAAAAAGGTTGGGAAACACTGGTCTAGGTAGTGTAGAGATTCAGATATATTCTCTGTAACCGATTGCAAAAGCCACTGCTACCTTTGTTTTCCAGTATGAATGAGGAAATTATGCGATCCCATTCTTCATTTCTTGTATCCAGCAATACCAGGACAAGGTCGAACCTGCTAAGGAGAGGGCTGCCAAGGGCGATGTTCACAGAGACAGATTCATTAGGGTCATACTGCCCCTTTGGATTGGTTGCTGCCAAGATAGTGGTCCTTGTGTTCAGCTTGCACACTAAACTGAAGAGAAACATGATCGATATTGACACAGAACTATGTTAAACCACCACCCTACTGCCCAAAGGAACACTTTCGGGTACTTTCCATTTTGAACCTTCCCTTCAGAAATTTCACATAGGCTGATCGGATAGGAGAAAAGATGAGGTGACAAACTAGCTGGAAAGGTTTGCGGAACCTAAGGCAAATAAAGTGTGGTTTTGGATGAATGTGATGAACTGCAAATATAGGTAACAGGTAAGATCAGCAGCCAGCACCCTGTCTGGACTGGAGGCGCCACATCCATAATTTTAAATTGGCAATAGAGTTGCTAATAAGCCAGCATTAGATCAGTAAACTTGTTTTGTCAGGTAGCTAAAACTAAAGTCTGAAAAGCCAATTTTAAAAACCTGAATACTCCAGATTCTGCTCATAACCCACCCAGCTCCATCCTCCCTCTTCTACAATCTACCAGAAGGTCTCACTACGTAGCATCACCGGGGTGGGAAGGGGAAGGATTTTTTAGATCAAAAGTTGACAATCTTAACACTGGGGGGGGGGGATTGCATGCTCTCTCCTATGCGGGCAAATGCAAACTCTTTTACACTGTTGTCTCTGCCACTTGGACACACACACACACACACACACACACACACATGCCTGTTTGATGCACAGACATGTCTGTGTTCTTCCACTTGCAGGCACACTCATAAATACACAGATGTTTGCAAATATACACGATCTCACTATACAAACTACCACGATCATAAGAACGGTGTCTATAACAACATTTAGTTTGGTGCAATTCCCCCCCCCCAATCCCTTAATTCATTTGACCTTGACCCAAGGTTTGTTTTCAGAGCTACAGAAGGGTGTTTTGTCCAAGTAAGCATAACTCTCTCAGTGCAGACATTTAGACAGCTGTTCTAAATCTGACTTCGAAGTGATCTATTTCCAGTTGGTGCCATCTTCACTCTTACCTCATTGTACTGAGAGGGAGCAAGTACAGCACCAAGAATCTTAGCTTTCATATTTGTAGTACATAACATGGGAAAAGTATTTTGACTCTTAGCCAGTAACAACAGAGATTCAAAAAAGAAATCAAGAGTTGACCCCCACTCTGTAATGCCTTAAGGATGCCTAAATATGGAAGTGAAAGGTTGCAGCCCCAGAACACATGCTTGGAATGGAGGAAAGGTCTAAAATTCCATCTGCAGCACAAAACAACTGTTTCATTGCTCTCCTGACTAAAAATGGTTTTCCTTTTTTAAAAAACAACAACACTGAAAATAGTTCCCAATAGTGGTCATTTTAAAGTTGTGTATATGTCTGGTCTAGTACTGGCACAATAAGATGCAAACATAGGGTCAAAGAACATAATTCCCTCCCATTTTTGTGGCTTGTAAAAGCTGAACAAGTACACTTAGCTCTTGCACCTTATGAATGTTTACTCAGAAGCCAAGCCCCACTATGTTCAGTGGGGCATGTTCCCTAGTAAGGTAAAAGGTAAAGGATCCTTGGATGAATAAGTCCAGTCAAAGGCGACTATGGGGCTGCGGCGCTCATCAATTGTAGGGATAAGTTTCATCTCTTTACTGTGGGAAGTTGGGAAGGTGGTGAGACAAAGAGGGAACGAACAGCCAGTCAACAGAAGCTGTGTTTTTTGCTACATGATAGAGGTCTGAAAATTGATGGAAGTACTTAGCTCTCATTGCAATGGCTAATACCTTGTCATATAGTGAGAACAGCTAAAATTTTGAGATTTGCTGGGATGGAATTTTATACTCCTTAGCTTTCTGGTTTCATGTATATTCCTGGGCATACGCCAGTTAGGCTGGAAGCAGATTAAAAAATAAATAAATTCCCTAGAGAGTTTAAAAGAAGGTCCATTGCTCATTCTGCTTTCCCTTCTGGAAAATGGACTGCAGGTTTCTGGCTTCTTTGAAAACCTACGAAGTTTGTTTGAGCAGACCCTCATGCAACAACAATACAAGAGTGGTGAAATAAATTAGCATCCATGGCCCTTTTTTTAAAAAAAAATTACTTACCCAGCCTTGGCCACGCTGATGGTCTGTTGTTCCATTGCCTCGTGAATGCTGGTTCTGTCGTGTTCCTTGATGCTGTTAAACTCATCAATACAGCAAAGTCCCCCATCAGCCAGCACGAGGGCTCCAGCCTCCAAGTTCCACTCTCCAGAGTCTTTCACAGCAGTCACTGTTAAACCTTTGGAACAGAAAAGTGTTGTTTGAGCAACCCTGGCTCAATCTCATTTGAACAAGGCTTAACAAGGGTCAGCCTAAAAAAAGTAAAGGTGACAGTAGTACAATTTCCGGTGAAGACAGACCTGGTGCAGCTAGTGCCTTTTGTTACCATGAAAGTAAAGGTAAAGTACCCCAGCCCATCAGGGCCAGTCGTGACCGACTCTAGGGTTGCGCGCTCATCTCGCTCAAGAGGCCGGGAGCCGGCGCTGTCCGAAGACACTTCCGGGTAATGTGGCCAGCGTGACTAAGCTGCATCTGGCGAGCCAGCACCAGCGCCGCACACGGAAACGCCGTTTACCTTCCCGCTAGAAAGCGGTCCCTATTTATCTACTTGCACTTAGGGGTGCTTTCGAACTGCTAGGTAGGCAGGAGCTGGGACCGAACGACGGGAGCTCACCCCGCCGCGGGTATTCGAACCGCCGACCTTTCGATCGGCAGGTCCTAGGCTCTGTGGTTTAACCCACAGCGCCACCCGCGTCCCCTGTTACCATGAAACTTCCTCAGAATTCCCTATGGAAGTTTAGTGTTTGTTTGTTTAAAAAAATCATTTTCTTAATTAACAAGGCAAAACAACAACTTACTTACCCGAGTACATGCAGATTTAAAAATAAAATAAAATTAAGAGGTGGGCAGCCTGCTTGGAGCATGTGTGAGGGGAGAAACTGGAGAAACTAGTGTTATGAGTTTTTTTGGGGGGGTATGTATTGGTATGTGTAGGTTGTATGCCTGAGCCTCCTTCTAATTTCTGGATCCAGCACAGACTCAATTCCTGGAGGAACCAGGCTAGCTTCCTGATGAGGTAGGTATGGGTCATTAAGGTAACAAAGGAAGTGTCTCTGTACCAGATGAATAAGGGGTGACCCCCCCCTCAACTTACTGGTAGTTAGAAAGACAAAGGGCAGAGTTGAGAGTTAAGTGAACTAGCAAGTAGAAGCAAGACTGCAAGCTGGGCAGCTGGGAGACAGAGCCATGCCTGATTTCTGTTGGAATACAAGTCTGTGGCTATGAGAGAAGACCAAGACCATTTGGGGGGGTGTTAATGCTGTGAACCTCTACATGTAGGCTCAGGTTGAATATATGTGTAAGTAAACCATATAACATAGAGACACCACATTCTCCACTGTCTCTCATTCCAAAAGAAACACAAGCCCTGAATAAGTGCGTGGAACCCCCGTAATCTCGCATTGCTCAGAGACTGGGGTGGTGTGCAATACCTGTCATTCAGAATGCAAACCAAGGATGGAAGCTAGACTTAGTCCCTTGGCTAAGGGACCTCCTGCAAGTTCTCTCTTTACATTACACCTGCCTGCACCCTAAATCTGATATGTTATCATTCATGATACTATATAGTATAAATAGACTAATGGAAAATCAATTCACATTCATTTGTCAAAGGAAACTCGACATTCAGTTGCATTTACGAAAGATAGCACAGCAGCAGTGCATCCTTATCTCTGCTGCTCTGGTGGTTTCTTTTTTGAGTATGTTGCTGTCTGCTGAGCTACGCAAAGGGTGGGTAAGTTCTGGAGCAATGACTGTTGTACTTATCAACAGCTGTGGAGTGCACTTGTGCAAGTAAACACCTGGGACGCTGAACCGGGGTACTAAGTTAAAGAGGTGCAATTGCACCATTAAAGCTTTTTATGACTCACATGTGTGCAGCAAGAAATCAAACCTGGGACTTCCTCCTCACACTGCAATTTAAAAAAGAGCTGGCCTGTGAGTGATAATGCCTTATGTCCATAAGCCACACAATGGCATGATTTAAATGTTGTAGTGCAAGAGAACAACCACTAGGTGGTTCCTGTAATTGTCATCCCTAGTTTGTCCCTCTGGGGGTTCCATAGAGGCTTCCTGTGCGAGCCAACAAGCGACCACAAGAAAACGCCACCTATCACTAGAAAATAAAGACTGCTCCTCTTACCAACTGCCTGAATCCTATCTTTCCACAACGCTACAAAAACATAGCATATGTTTAAAACACCCAGTGAAAAGGTAATTAGCAGTAACAATAACCTGAGCAGCAGAAAAAAGACAAAGGGATAATCAAGGCAATCTGAAAGACCTCCAGAAGAGAGCTACCATGGTCTGGCATCTGAAAGTTAGCAAGAAAACAAAGGCAAACTAGTAAGTCCCACAGTTTTGATGCCCTTGCAGAAAAGGCCCTGGCTCATGTTGCAACCTACTGTGTTTCAGAAGGGGAGAACACACAAAAGCAGGGGCTCTGGAGGTGTCCACAATACGGCATTAATGCATATGTGGACTGCTGTTTCCATGTGCATGTTTGTGTGTGTACAGAAGTACAATTTTATGCCTCTATCCTGATGTTTCCTATCCAAAATCCGAATTCAGTCTGTGTGTTTTGGACGGGGGGGGGGGGGGCGGATTGCTGCCACTTGGATGAAGACATCATATAGACACCAGGGGGGGGAACAGACACAAGCAGCTTCAAGTGCACTTTAAAATTCAGTGTGGACAAGCCCTCTGAGGAGGAGCCTGCACTTTGGTAGGTTTACGTGGGACCAGTCAATCCTTAAGCTAACCTGGGCCCAGACTATTTGTCTAGGGTTTTAAAAGTCAAAAACAAAGACTTTAAATGGAATCCAGAAATCAAGTGGGAGCTATTTTGGAGAGCAACCTAAACCCTGGCCAGGCAGTGATGGACTGATGGAGTGGCGTAGTCCCTACATTAACGGTCTTGTTCCACACGTTAGCTGGGGTAGTAGTCCAGCAGATCTTGAGCTGGCTCAGCCCCTCCGGGGGGCGGGGGGCTTGTGGTGTGTTTATGCACTTTGCAGATCACCACTCTTTTATTCCACACTTTTCAATGCACTCCTCACTCACTTTCCAATTCGCAAAAAAGAAAGGTCTGTTTCTTTTTTTAAAAGGATTTGTTGCACTAGGCCGAGTGTGTGCTTTAATCCACTTTAACTGCACAAATCCATCCCACAGAATAATGAGAGGTATGGAGGCATCCTAAAAACACATACATGCAATCATTAGTTTAAAATAAAGCCCACCATTTATTCCTTTTTTGGCGCGCGCGGGGGGGGGAGAAATCAACATGGGAAGCACCACTTATAAGTGTTTCCCCCCCCTTTCCTTTCCACTTCGCTTCAATTACGCCAAGGCCCCTCTTCTTGCTAGTTCACTTCTCTCAAGAGCCTCGCTCGCTTCGCTCTCCAGCCCTTTCACCCTCCTCTGGTCCAGCAGGTGGAGCGCCAGCTAAAGCTTCCCACTCCACTCGGGCTACGGGAGCCCATCTTGCTCTTTCGGGGAAGCCTCGGCTGCAGGAGGAGGGCCATAGCTCAGCGTGCAGCCAATCCGCGCCAGCCCTGCCAGTTAACAGAGCAGAATGGGCTGTAGTTTAGTGTAACAGGAAAGCTGCAAAACAGTGTGGAGTGCTCTCGGTGCAACATTAAAAAAGAGAGAGGAAAACAAGAAAGGGGAAGACGGAGAAGGGCGAGTTTTTGGGTGGTGCTTTTTTTTTTTTAAAGCAACCCAAACCTCAAAGTTTCCTAACTCTCAACGTGCTCGCTTGCCGGCGCTGGGGTTCGCGCCCTGCAAAAGGGGAGCCCCCTGGACTTTTCCCGGGCTGCGGTAACACGCCGCGACTATTGTTTGCGGGTCTCCCCTCCCCCCCCTCCCCGAAATATGGCAAAGGTTCAGGTGAACAACGTCGTGGTGCTGGACAACCCTTCTCCTTTCTACAACCCTTTCCAGTTCGAGATCACCTTCGAGTGCATCGAGGACTTATCCGAAGGTGAGTTTGCCCGGGGTGGATTTTTCGCCCCCTCGGCGCTGACCAAGCCCTTTCGGGCTATTTCCCTTCCCAGGCTTAAAGTTTGCAAAGGCCTCGCTGCTGCTGCTCCCTCTCCTCCTCTGCAACTGGCATGACGGAAGGACGGTGGGCTTTGCAGCCGCCGTCGCCTCCTTCTCTCCCACCCAACCCGGCAGCGCCCGCACCCAGCCCAGCTTCTCCGGTCTTCCGCTCGCGAGGAAGGGAAGCCTTTAAGTTGCAAGGAACTTGTTTGAGCGCTGGGAGCAGCCATGTTGCCAGCATTGTGCTGCTGCTGCTGCTGCTGTGTGTTGGAGGGGGCGGCGGGGCGCGTACGCGAGAGAAGGAGGGCTTAACGGAAACACCTCGCGCGCTTCGGGTTTTGGTGGGGGAAGGCGAGCCGGGAGAAGCTCAACTACCCAGTGCAAAGGAACCAAAGGGGTGCTACAGATGGGCGGGGGGGGGGGCCCGCTGAGAACACCTGCAAGTTAAGTGGTTTCCACTCACCCGCTTTTAGTGCTCGCACGAAGGGGTGTGTGTGTGACATGTTTAAAACGCTTTAGGGGAAAAAACAACAGAATTTTAACGATGCCTTTTTTAAAAAAACGTTAAATGGCCTTAAAAGCACTTCTGGTACTACTTTACGTTTGCATAACTTTTTAATTGTGACACCCCTTTCAGACGGAAGTTCGCTTTGGGGAACGCCCTGGAGGTTTGTGGTGGGTGTTTTGTTTTTCGTATGGATAGCCTAAAAAGCCTCTCTTCGGACCTCCACCCTTGCCCCCTCCCGGGGTAGTGAGGTCAGCAACACTTTCCCTACTAGAGGTAGCTAGCAACTTCTGCCGCCACCCTTCAGAAACGTCTTTGCCCTAGGCGGGCAGGAAGAATACTTAGACTCCTCCAGAACTTGCTATCCTAACCTACTGTCTAGTGAAGTCCTGTTGAATTCAGCAGGGTTTACTCCCAAGTAACAGGTTAGGACTACAGCCTCAACTACTGAATATTACAAAGTCATGCAGTAATTGAGCAGAATGCTACAGTTGTCTAGAACAACACTTAAAAGTGCTAGTATCAACAAACTTCTTCAAAACAATTTTTCAGTATTGTAAAACATTTCCTTGGATGTAAATACTAATTATTTTCAGCCACCCCTGCTGGTTTTCAGTATTTGCTTTCAAATAAATGTAAACATCATCAAGTTAATGTCAACTGGCTTTACTAATGTTAAGAGGCTACAATGATTTTTGTGTGTTTTATTTTAGGTAAAGCAAAAGTACTAAAAGGTTTTTCTTCTTCTAATGTAGATTTGGAATGGAAAATTATCTACGTGGGCTCCGCAGAAAGCGAGGAGTACGATCAAGTTCTAGATTCAGTTTTGGTGGGTCCTGTTCCTGCAGGAAGACACATGTTTGTATTTCAGGCAAGTCTGCTTTTAAACATTTAGGAAATTCTAAAGCATTGTGTGTGTTTATGTTCAGATGTCTACTTTTGCGACAAGCAGTCACAAATTACATATGACTGAAGTTCAGCACTGCCCTTTGCTTTAAAAGGGTAGCAAATCTAATGTTTAACCCAAGGCTGGACAGCTCTTTCTTTGGGTACTGATTTTTAACCAAGAACATGGGGACATACATATCCAAGCGTGTGAGCTATTCATCATAAACAGTAAGTTGGCTCTGCTCTAGAAGAGAGAGAGTTGCTACAGAAAAATCTGTTCTGGGAATAGAAGGGAGGGAAATACTGTATATGGGGTAATAAATTTAATTTCAGTAGTTTTTCTTTTTTTTAGTGTTTTAGAGGAAAGATTTTTCATGCATTTTTCATGAATACAGTAACATAAGCTATGTACATGCAATCGTAGGTAATATTTTGGCCATCAGACTTGCAACTGCGTATGAGTTAGATATCACCAAACTTTTCAGGAGAGGCTGTGTGTCCTCCTGCTTTCTGACATGCAAGTGGTGGGTGTGCAAGATACTGACTTCTTTGTAAATGTGCCTGGGCTTTGGAATTTACAACCCTAGGGGGCCCATCTAGCCCAGTCTCCAAATCATCAAGAGGGCTGTAAAGGAATGCCATTTTTGCAGACTGCTTTTAACATTATCTGAACCCATGAGTTAATTGTTATATGTTGCTTCTGGTCACCTCCTTAACTGGCGGCAATATAGATGCATACATAAAATTTGTAGGCCTCATTGGGACCTCTGGGGGGCCAAAAATCTGCACAGAAATATTAAGAGCACACAATGCTTTTTGGGCAGAGTGTTCTTCAGGAAAGGGGGAAACAAGTGCATTTAGAGGCCACTGAACACTGTGTGACTTGCAACTGCAGCACAGATTGCACTTGCTAAGCTAATACAGTGGTGCCCCGCAAGACGAATGCCTCGCAAGACGAAAAACTCGCTAGACGAAAGGGTTTTCCGTTTTTTGAGTCGTTCTGCAAGACGAATTTCCCTATGGGCTTGCTTCGCAAGACGAAACGTCTTGCGAGTTCTTGCGAGTTTGTTTCCTTTTTCTTAAAGCCACTAAGCCGCTAATAGCCGCTAATAGCTGTGCTTCGCAAGACGAAAAAACCGCAAGATGAAGAGACTCGCGGAACGGATTAATTTCGTCTTGCGAGGCACCACTGTACACTCTAGTTCTGTGCGTCTCTCTGCAAGGGGATTATTACACAGTCACGTAGTTGCATTTGTATGTAGCTGGTTTTAACCATGATGTGTTCAACAAGCCAATGTTTTGTTTCTCCAAAGTTTGGTTTGTTACCCAGTGGCTCTTGCCTTGTGCCTCTGTAGCTTGGTTGTGTTTAGTCTGGAGCTACTAAGCAGACCATGGTTAGGTAAGGCTGCTAGGTTCAGACATGACAAACAGTAGTTAAAACAAGCTGTGGTTTGTACGCCGACAACAAACTGACTTCACATAATGGTTTGTTGCCAGGAAAAAAATGATTAGTCTGCTGGGCAGGGTTCAGATATCCAAATGAACCATGGCTGAACATTATGTGCAGATGGGGTGTGTGTGTGTTTATGTAAATAGCTGGGTGAATCCACACAGCTAAAAGCTGTGATGTTTGCTCTTTTGGGTAAAAAAAGTAAGGCAGATTGGGTACAACCTGGTTTGTTTTACTAAAGGAAGTCCACAAACAAAAAAAAAATCTAGTAACAAGTTAAAAGACCTCACAAAAATAAAATGAGCTTGGAATATAACTAATCTATATCAAGGAGCTGAAACAATTACAGGGTGGTCTTTGACTGAAAACCTGAAGTATATGTCTTTGAAGATTAGAACTTTTGTGCTTCTTAGTTCAATCGGCATCAGTAAGTACTGTGCCAAATCTCTCTATCTTGTGAGCATAGTGGTTTTCTTAACAAACAAAAAAAGTGGGAGAGCTTTGGTCAATCTTGTGTTTTGTTTTGTTTTTTGCTGCAGGCAGATGCTCCTAATCCAGGACTAATTCCTGATGCAGATGCTGTAGGAGTCACAGTTGTGTTAATCACCTGCACCTATAGAGGTCAAGAATTTATTAGAGTTGGCTATTATGTGAACAATGAATATACTGAAACAGAATTGAGAGAAAATCCTCCGGTAAAGCCAGATTTTTCTAAGGTAGGAGTTATTATGCTTTGCTTATCCATTAAAATACTCTTGTTACATAGAATTAAAATGCTAAGAAATAAATCAGCAAGTCAAATTTTAAAAAGAGGTTGTTCTGAATTTGTTCTAAGACTGCTTCAGAAGTCAAGAGTATCTGATGCAACTCCAAAATGTTGATGTGAATGTCCTTGTCTTGCAGCTCCAGAGGAATATTTTGGCATCTAACCCCAGGGTCACAAGATTCCACATTAATTGGGAGGACAACACTGAAAAACTGACAGATGCAGAGAGCAGCAACCCAAACCTTCAGTCACTCCTTTCTACAGATGCACTGCCTTCTGCTTCAAAAGGATGGTCAACATCAGAAAATTCACTAAATGTTATGTTAGAATCTCATATGGACTGCATGTGACCCAACTTACCTTTCAGCGCTATGTATGTGTTAGGATGTAGACAGACAGCACAGACACACACACACAGACACACAGACACACACACACCATCACCAGAAACAATTTCCCGGGAATTGCATATTCAACATGTGAATAATTTGTTTTAAAATCCCCACATTCTGTAGAAAGTTTATAAGGAAAAAGTATTTGAGTGGATGTATAAATAAAAATTATTTTTAAGTAATTCTGAGGGTTTGCTTAGTCCACACTAAGTATGTTATTAAAACATTTATTTATTTTTTCTCCCCTGCAGACTGGGTGGGGGTTGAGGGAAATACAGGAAGTTAGATATCTCATAGAATAGTTGGAAAGTACCCTGAGGATCATCTAGTCCTGAAATGCAGGAATACACAACTGTCCCTTACGGGGATTGAACCTGCAAACTTGCCGCTGTCAGCACCACACTCTAACCAACTGAGCTGAAGAAGTTAAATCTACTACTTGTTCAGTACACATGCAAGACTATTCTAAACAGCTTCTGTTTGGAAAGCAGGAAGCATAGCATAAGCCACAGCTGCCTTTTCAAGGCACATATGACTTAACAACACGATTTAGTCCAGCATCAAAACGTTTGTGTGGAATACTATTGTGCGTGTACTGTGAGGGTTTCCCCCCCCCCCCATACGCTGTTTGTGGCATGCCATGCAGTGTTACCACAGAAAGAAATACAGGACTAAAATGTTTGTGCTAGCCTAGATGCATGTCCTCTTGGATCATGGACACTAAACTCAAATCCCCCACCACACCAAAATAATAGTCACGCACATTACAGTAGTCCTCATCAAGCAGTCAGGCTTGTAAGTGCTTAAGTGTAAGTTGTGGTTTAAAAGATTTAGCCTGCCAGCCACATACTTACTTGGTCTGAGACAGGGTCTTACGCTTTGTAGACCTCCCACACACTGGCCCATTGCATGAAACATGATAAATAGAATTTAAAGCAACAGAAACTGAAGGTGCCTGGGACAGAATCAGGAAACCTCTATATGCACACAGTGTGATTATTTTATCTTTGATGCTATATATTGTGGGAAGGAAGGGGATCTGAGTTCCTGGGCCAAACAAGATCTTAAATGTCTCATTGGGAGATAAAAGTGCATTCTTAAAAAGGTAAAGGGACCCCTGACCATTAGGTCCAGTCGCAGACGACTCTGGGGTTGCGGCATTCATCTCGCTTTACTGGCCGAGGGAGCCGGCGTACAGCTTCCGGGTCATGTGGCCAGCATGACTAAGCTGCTTCTGGCGAACCAGAGCAGTGCACGGAAATGCCGTTTACCTTCCCGCCAGAGCGGTACCTATTTATCTATTTGCACTTCGTGCTTTCGAACTGCTAGATTGGCAGGAGCAGAGACCAAGCAATGGGAGCTCACCCCGTCTGCCAACCTTCTGACCGGCAAGCCCTAGGCTCTGTGGTTTAACCCACAGCGCCACCCGTGTCCCATATTCTTAGGTCTTCCCAAAGAGAAAACACAACTGGGCCAAAATATTGGAAAAGGTTCACTGTGACAGATGACATTTATTCCAGTTCTGCCCAACTGGCAGTGGCCTCCTGGGGTCCTTACACAGCCGTGCTCCATGACATAATACTAGATAGACACCCCGGGTTCATCCAATGCAGTTGAACTTCAGGAGGTATGGGACAGACAAAAGGAAGCATTGTAAAATATAAACTGGGTTTTGCTACAACAGGGTGTAAAAATATGGTCCCCAAGCTCAATGTCTTAAAAGGGACTGGATTAAAAATTGAGGATAAAGGCTATGTGGTAGTAAGGTTGAGTACCAGCAGATGAGAAACTGAAAGAAACCTACTGACTTCACGTCCTGATTGTGAGCTTAACCATAGCTATTTGCCCACTGTGGGAACAGAATGCTGGACTAAATGGACCCTCAGTCTGATCTAGCAGAACTACTCTTACGTTCTGAAGAGTTCTTTAAAATTAAGAGCTTGCAAATTAAAGTTAGGGCATTCTGTGTGCAGAGCACATGTTCTATCGAGCCTTCTGGGAATAAAAAGATTATGTTTTGTCATGTATAGATACATCAACATCTTGAGGTAGGACTCAAAACACGAGCCCTGTTTCCTACAGAGTGCTTTTTCCTCAATGCACTATTACCAAGAGTTATATTGCATGTGAATAAAAAAAAAATCCACTCCTTCATTACAACCTAAAGATGTAGATATTTTCAGAAGGTAATTGTCAACTGCATCCTCCCCCAATATAAACAAAAATTCCAACCGCAGTTGAATGTGCATTTGGATGTCTCCTTTTACCTGCGCTTGTGGATCCAATTCCTGCTGTAAGTACAGAACGCGGAGTAATCTTTACTGCGTATTTCAGAAACTGAGACTTCCCTGTTCCAGGGTCTCCAACCAATAAAAGATGTGATTCACCTTGCAGGGAAACAAATGCACAAGTGTTTGCTAAAGCAGCATTTTAGATTAAAGTAAGTATTCAGTGCAAGGCCCGAGAAATAATGAAACAGCAGAAATATGATGCCATCATGCCTGCCAATTTCCAATCTTTAAAATAAAAAGCCTTACATTTATCCTGCTTTCCATGAAAAGATGGCCACAAAGTGGCAGTTTTATCATATGTGCTTGAATGTAAAGGAAGGTAAAGGGACCCCTGACGATTAGGTCCAGTCGTGACCGACTCTGGGGTTGCGGCGCTCATCTCGCTTTATTGGCCGAGGGAGCCGGCGTACAGCTTCCGGGTCATGTGGCCAGCATGACTAAGCCGCTTCTGGCGAACCAGAGCAGCGCACGGAAACACCATTTACCTTCCCGCCGGAGCGGTACCTATTTATCTACTTGCACTTTGATGTGCTTTCGAACTGCTAGGTTGGCAGGAGCAGGGACCGAGCAACGGGAGCTCACCCCATCGCGGGGATTCGAACCGCCAACCTTCTGATCGGCAAGTCCTAGGCTCTGTGGTTTAACCCACTCAAAAAACAGAAGGATCTCACCCAGCTGCCCTGTGTGCTCCATCTGCTCTGACCCCTGAACCAGACATGCCCACATGTATTGAATACTACCTGCACAGTCCAACCCTGAAACTGAACCCTGGACACCAGGATTCAGATTACCACTCAGCCATGAAGATCACTGGGTTACCTTGGGCCAGTTGCAGGATCTCAGCCTAACCAACCTCACAGGTATTGGCAAAATAAAATGAAAGTGCACCACCCTGAGCTTCTTGTAGGAAAGAGTGGGATATAACTATAATAATATATATATATTTTAAAATGTAGCCCCCAACTTTGCTAAGAAAGGATCATGTGCTGAAAGTTTTATGGAAACGTCCTAGACACTAATTTCCATATTTTTTGTCCTAATTACAATTATGCTTTTATTTTATTTTTGCTTAGCTACAAAAATGGTCATTCGCCTCAATTCATCTCATATGATCTCAGGAGGAAAATGTAAAATATTTAATGTCTTAACAAACATTAGTAGTAGGATTATGATTAAGCATTAGTGGGGTTTTCCCATCCTTTCGATAGTATGCAAGCTCATCATGTGGTACCTTGCATTTCTAAATGGGGAGGGAATGATCTGACAAAAATGGCCATTGCTCAGGAATATTCCACTATAGTTTAGATAATGTTTATTGCAGGAAAATTGCACTTAATAGCCCTCTACAGAAATGACATTAATGCTTTGAAGGTGGCATTTAAATTTTGCTCTGGTGACCTATGGCATATATGCACACATTAAAAAACCTTTTAGGATTATATCCACCTACGCAAGTGGTGACATTTAATGCCCAGCACACAGCACCTCTGCCCCTCCACACAAGGAAAAGCAGTTTGCTGAAAATTCTACAGTAACAGATCTAAGAAAAAATAACAGGCAAGTATGGAAAGAAAAGACTGGAATCAAATTATTTGAAGTTACAGGCTGTCAAAACTGTTATGTACTGAAGTTCTCACCCTGGGCCAGCAGGGGGATACTGTAGATAGTTATGCAAATGAAGGATCGAAAGTGACGTTTAGTGATTGGATAGTTTGTATGCAAATGAAGGATCGAAAGTGACGTTCAGTGATTGGATAGTTTTAGAAAATGGCAACAGTTACATTGTTCTGGAGCTCTGTATAAGCAGGCTGGCTGAGCTCCTCAGTTAGTTCTGTTCCAGCTTACAAATAAAGAGCTGCTTTGGAAGAATCGCTGTGTCGTCTGCTATGTTCGCCCACAACTTACATACTGGCCTTGCTCCCATGTCACTTCAAACCACGGTTAACTATTGTTTAAAGATGAACACAAAGCATGCTGGTGCATAGGGCTAAAATTACGGCTGCTTGGCTGCTACTTCTGTGTTGTCGGCAGCAAAGCCATGGTTTCACTAAGCATCATGTCCAAACTCAGACTCATGGTTTGTTTCTCCCCAAACTACCATGAATGGTAAGCCACAAACAAACCTTGGTTGTAGCTCATGGTTTATTTTGAGAGCAACAAAATAAGTCTGAGTTTAGATGCAACACGCAACACAGAAGGGGTGGAAGAGCAAGGTACCCGCAATTTTAGCTTAATGCACCCATTCACCTTTAACCATAGTTAACTATGGTTTAGCACAGAGGTTGGCAACCTAAGGTCCATGGGCTGCTTCCGGCCCAGGAGCTTCCTGGAACCAGTCCACAGCCGTTCTGTGGATCGGCCTGGGGATTCCGTGCTTTTTTCCCCCCCCCCCACGGCGCCATTTTTCCCTCACCGCGGGGACCAACTTCCGGGTCGGAAGAGTGCCAGAAATGGTGTGTGCGCATGTTGCACACGCACTCCTCCGTCCCAGAAGTGTGCCGGAAATAGCGTGTACGCAGACGCGGGCATGCACACTCTGGCCCACAGAGAGGTCTGCTGGGCAGTGGACCGGTCCAGCCTCAAAAAATGTTGCCGACCCCTGGTTCAGCATGATGTGTGAATAAGGCTTTTGTGAGATTTTGCACTTTCCTCTCCAAAATCCGGTCGAATCTTTATTTTAATGTTATTAACTTGCTGTTGGATTTGTTGAATTTAAAGAAGTCATTAAAAAATATTTTTAAACTACCACGAAAAGCATCACAACAATGTTGTGACAAAGTGACACAGTCCTATGAAGTAGTACAGCAAATTTAAAACTGCCTTTGTGACTGTTGGTATTGTTCCTCAAAGTGTACAACATACAGTTGCTTTCTAGAGTTTTTAGGGACATGATAACTTATGTGAGTGTCTTTCATGGGACTACTTTATCAAGAAAGCACCAAGGGATTAAAAAATCATACGATGGCAGCTCTTTTACACTACAAGTGGTGCAGTAATTCAGGCCAGTGTAGTGATAAAGGGTCAGGTTTATAGAGGGTTGTGTGTATGTAAAAGAGGGGATAGGCTTTATATATACTAACCTCTAACCCGAGTGCCTGCAGCATCTGTTCTCTGCACACCCCCTGCAAGCACCATGGCTACTGCCAACTTCACGAGATACAACCCAAAAATCTGAGGGCACAAGCTTGCTAAAATGTCATTTCTCCCTGAAAAGAGGGGAGGGAAAATAATTAGTTCAGCTGATAACAAACTATATCTGATCACACACATTTCCCAAGCAAATGTCTAAGATACTACTCATTTGAACTCCTTGATTTAAAGTAACAGACTATGACAGGTGAATTAAAAAATAATAATGATCAGATGGCACTTTTGTAAATATTGGTTTGTTGTAGGAATGGTCTCACATGACGCTGAATAGAAAAAAGCCCAGATTCAGTGTTTTCCAGTGGGCAGTGATACTTAGAGAGCATGTAGAAATTGCATCAGTAGCAGATGGTGTAGTGGAGAAGTGCTGCTCAATCATGTTGCTGCTGCTTACTGGGAGGTGGAAGGGAAAGGTGGCAGCAAGGCTGGCATGGGATGGAGCTAATTCGGTGCTCCTGCCAGTGCATTTGCACCATGCCAACCTCCACACTGCCTCGCCCCTCCTCTTCTAACTTCCCATAAGTAGCAGTGAATCAACCGACCAGAGGTCAGGTGGGTGGCAGTGCTCCACCATGCCTTGTGCTACTGGAATAAATGAGATGTATAGCTTTACTGAAAGACCTTTACAGGCATACTCAAGGGGTCATAGAAATAACACAGACTGGTTCTGGCTGTGAGAGCTCTGACAGATGTACAGAAGTCTCCCATCAGCAAGAACATCCTTCATGCATTAAATACTTAATTTCAAGCAAAGGAAGATTTGAGTAGATCAGGTCTCTCCACTTAAATGAATGGGGACCTTTGCACAGGCAGTGGTACAATGTGCATATTTGAGAGCACACAGAACTCTTAGTTTCGAGTAAACATTTATTACCCACATAAAAGCCAGCTCCTGGCTTCTGCCTCTTGGTCACACAAACAGAACCAATAAATATAGTGTGGCTGTCTGTCCCCAAGGCCACTTCTCCCTTGCACAGACTCTAGGATAGGCACCCCCAAACTCGGCCCTCCAGATGTTTTGGGACTACAACTCCCATCATCCTAGCTAACAGGACCAGTGGTCAGGGATGATGTGAATTGTAGTCCCAAAACATCTGGAGGGCCGAGTTTGGGGGTGCCTGCTCTAGGATGTCTCTCCCCCATCCATCAACCTGAATCGTCACAGCACTGCTCCATCATTTAAAATGAAAGTTACTAGGAAATTCAGTTAGGCACCATTTATTGCACACTAAGCAGAAAACTGTATAACTTTTTTGACAGTACAATGTACAATGCTGCTCAACACATCATCTAACAAGACAACAGACCATTACGTTCTGATATCATTTTAAGCTATTTATATAAAAAGTGCATACAGTGGTACCTCGGTTTATGAACAGCCCTGTTAACGAACTATTCGGTTTACCAACTCCACAAAACCAGAAGTAGTGTTCTGTTTTGCGAACTTTACCTTGGTCTGCAAACGGAAGCTGAATGGTGGAAGGGCAATGGCAGCAGGAGGCCTCATTAGGGAACGTGTGCCTCAGTTTAAGAACAGATTTGGTTTAAGAACGGACTTCAGGAATGGATTAAGTTTGTAAACTGAGGTACCATTGTACAACTAAGTTCATAATAGAACCTGCAATAAATTTGCTATAAATTTATTATCTGGGAGAAAGCTTTGAACTATGTGTTTTAGTGCTTTTAATGCTCAGAAACAATAAAATTCCTGATGCCAAAGTATCTTGATGAGGAAAAATGCTGTGAGAATGAAACAAACAGGAATCAAATGTGCACTTATTGAGTAAACAACTGACAGTGCAGGTGGGTGTTGCATATTTAGGTATGGCCCAACTGATAGAAAAGTCCAACTGCCCTCCATAAAAGCAGGCAGCTTAGAAATCAGACCTAACAAAACAGGCCTAATTGTGAATATGTCCCCACCCCACCCCCGCTAAAAAAAAAAAAGGTGTGTTAGCATTTATTCATTCCACTAATCTATTATATTCTCTTTTACAAACCTGCTAAGGGATCACCCCTATGTTTTTCCCAAAAATCTTCAAATTCCTTGCGGACCTCCTCATCAATTATAACACCTAACATCTGCTCGTTGTTTACTTGAATGTAATTGGCCTTTAAGACAATCTCTACATCACAGCGTGCATCCTGGTGAAAAGGTTTCCACCTCTGCATTACTACTCCATAAACTGTTATGTCATCACCTGAGGACAGAAACAAGAATGGTCAAAACAATATTGCGCATATCGCATTCTGAACACACAAAGCTTCCTTTGGTTGACTCAGACTATTGGTCCATCTAGCTCAGCATCATCTACTCTGACTGGAAATGGCTTTCTAAGAATTTGTGCAGGAGCCTTTCCCAACCCTTAAAATGGGAAAGTCAGGAATAAAACTTAGCATTTGCATACAGAGCACATCCTTTGCCTCTCTCCCAGTTAACTTTGGTTAATACCAGCAGACATCTGTTTAACAGCTAAATACTTTAGATGCTAGCACTCTGATGGATTGGAATCATAGAATCATAGAGCTGGAAGGGACCACAAGGATAATGTATTCCAACCCCCTGCAGTGCAGGAATCTGTTGCCCAACATGGGGCTCAAACCCCACAACTCTGGGATTAAGAGTCTCATGCTCTACTGACTGAGTTTTCACCTAATGTCAATGACATTATCTTCTACGTAGCAACTTTTTAAAACCTTTATTTGTAAAGTTTTAGAGGCAATGCAGCTCAAATAAAAATAAACAAACAAGACAATACCTGCTAAAAGCAAAGTTTAATGCTAACAATCACTAATCAACCAAATTATAAGCAAGGAACAACCGAGTGGTAAACATTATGATTTTTAAATTGTGCATATAAAGAATAATATATTTGGAAACAGATCAAATTTACATTTAGGGTTTAAAAAACTTTGACCTCACCCTTCATCTAGCAATTAGTACTGCAACATGGTAAAAGAAAGGTTTATTTCATCTAATGGTAATATAATTAAGGTATGGAATAAATTTCTAATGAAAAATGACTTTAAAAAAACCATTAAAAAGATCAGTGGGCTAAAAAGAAAATAAGGTACCCCTTGAAATGGAAGTTTCCTCTGACAAGCCACAATTGTCCTAAAGTATCAAGATTTCATATTGTATGACCACAATGCCAGCAAAACAACATGGCACATAACATTTTCCTATTAGACAGTAACAACTCTGCTTTCACCTTTTCAAACATGGACAGTCCTAAAGAAGATGTTTTCAAAAGGCAGTGACACAGAACTCACCAGATTTGCAGCTGTCAACTAAGTCATCTTCAAGGACAACTATCATAGAACGAGGAATACTTCCAACAGAGAGCCTTTGAACCTAGATTGCAAGAAGTGTATGTATTTTATTTCAAGATAAACAATGTTCAAAATAATCCTGATCGAGAATCCTACAAATACCTCAACAGAAATTACACTTGCATACCTATGTCGATCATTTGTGGCTTCATCCCTGGGAAATAATTATTTAGCTACCCAGAGAAGTCCAGGCAATCTGCTTTTATTTGGTCTATATTTCAATCAGGTTATGAATACGATGGTGACCCCTTTCCAAATAATTTGCAGCCTGACCCTATGCAAGTTGAGTCATAATTTAATCCGTGATGTTCAGTGGGGCTTATTCCCAAATTAATCTGCATAGGATTGTGGCCTTGAAATACTTTTACAGCATGGGGACACTTGACATGTCAAACCAATAAATACAAGGCAATGTGGTGATGAGGTACCAGCTGGGTTGTTACAATTATTTGGGGGTGGGGAGGGAATTAGGAAGGAGCTCAGTTGCCACCTTGCTCTTGTACATCAATTTCATGCATTTCTTGGGATTTCCATATGCTGCATACAAAGTTTCCAAAACACTAAACTTTTCCTGAATTAAAACAAAAGCACTTTCACTTATAGAGTGCATTTGAATGGGCATGCTGCTCAGATGAAATTGAGTAGGGAAGTTAGCCATCAGTGACAATGAAACTAGCCTTCGGCCTTAAACCATTTTAGGTGCTGATCATTTTAATTCACATCTCTCAACGTCTGCTGGAAAAATATCAAGAGAAAAAAATAACTAAACAGCAATGTGGAATGGTACTGTTACCTGATGGTTTATTTAAGCACACCTAATGTGATTTTCTAGGACTGTTGTCTGCTTAAAAATTAAGATGTTCCTTATAAGATGATGCAAAAATGTGATTTTGCTGCAACACAGGGATTTAATCTATATGTATGCTGGTAATTGTATTCTTTTTGTCCTCCGGGGAAAATTCAGTACAATCTCAACACGGTATATTTGAAGTTTGCCATAATTATTAATAAGTTACAGGTAGAATGCAGGCAGAATGGTAAAACAATGCATAATAATTTCTATGCTTGCATCCATGTTACTGTAACGGCTACGGCAGTTATCTGTTTAAGCATTTTGCCAATTTGTGTTAACCCTATTGTGAGATCCTAATTCTGCAGAGATGAATGGTGGGAACTAATGTGCCATGGCTGGGACACAGAATCACGGCAGAAGGTACAGCCAATATTAAAAGGGATGGAGGAGGCATATCACTGAAGCTAACATCTATCCACTGATTTCCATAGCAAAATTAGGACCCCAGAAAATTCATAGTATTAGTTTAAATATATTTGATACCTGCTCCTGAATCTTGATTTCTTGGTAGTCTCTGCAGCTGTTGGGAGCACAGGATGTTCCAGAGAGGCAAGTAAACTTAGATGAGTTGCAGCCTTCTTCATTAGGACAGGCTGGAGGACGGCAGAAAGCATAGTATTGTTCAAAGTCAGCCTTGACCACAAACACATGCTTGCACTTGTTGCACATGTAATCCCGTTCGAACTCCAGGACTTTCACAAGGCTGGTACGAATAACAGTGCCAGTGACTGAGAGGAAGTGTCCCACATCTCTGGTCTTTGGGATGTGTTCTCTGGTTAGCTCTGGGCAAACCGGCAAACCTGGTAAATCAGCACATAGAAAATATTACCCCACAAATGTTAATTAAAGCTATGTTTTCTTATGTCACTGATAAATCCCATCAAGGCTGCATTTTCAATTCCCCAGCAGCACAAGTTTGCAAGGCATTCTCAGATACACCTTGATGTAGAGCTGCCACCAAAGTATTTCATTAACTTGATCTACTACCAACAGCTTGGATGGGGAACTGGTGGCACACCAACTCTCAACAGTCCCAGTGAACGTGGCCAATAGTCAGGGATTATGGGAGCTGTAGTTCAGCCATTTTTAGGGCATACTATGTTGGCTACCCTTGGCCCCTAGCAGAAAGGTAAAGGTAAAGGACCCCTGACAGTTAAGTCCAGTCACAAATGGCACTGGGGTTGCAGCGCTCATCTCGTTTACTGGCTGAGGAGCCGACGTTTGTCTGCAGACAGTTTTTCCATGTCATGTGGCCAGCATGACTAAGCCGCTTCTGGCGAAACCAGAGCAGTGCATGGAAACGTCTTTTACCTTCCTGCCAGAGCGGTACCTATTTATCTACTTGCACTTTGACGTGCTTTCGAACTTATCTATCATTAATCTACCATGTGCAATTCTCAATTACCGTATTTTTTGCTCTATAAGACTCACTTTTTCCCTCCTAAAAAGTAAGGGGAAATGTGTGTGCGTCTTGTGGAGCGAATGCAGGCTGCGCAGCTATCCCAGAAGCCAGAACAGCAAGAGGGATTGCTGCTTTCACTGCGCAGCGATCCCTCTTGCTGTTCTGGCTTCTGAGATGCAGAATATTTTTTTTCTTGTTTTCCTCCTCCAAAAGCTAGGTGCGTATTGTGGTCTGGTGCGTCTTATAGAGCGAAAAATACGGTAATTGCATTGTGGAGTGTTTTCCACTTGAATGACTTTGAACAAAACTTCTAAAGCAAATGCAGATACAACTGGCTAGAGCAGATAAAACATAAGTACATATAGGTAATATGCTTAAAACACATAACTAATACTCAGAGGTTTTAAAGCATATGTGAATGTCAAGCTTATGATATGCTGGCCACCCACTGTCAGTTAAATTCAGCTCCGTTGCTCCGAGCTCATCTTGGCTTGAGCCCAGCAGAGTATACCCAGAGTCCGCAACGAAAGGATGAAGCAGGTATGGTGCTACATTGCTAAGCTTTATTTCTAAGCTATGCAGAGAGCATACAAATATACATCTTGTGTCTGTGAGAAGAGAACAAAGGAAACAGGAAACCAGTAAACGTCACATCCCGTCTCCCTTTCCCGTGGGAATCCAACAGTATCTGCACTGTGAAATGAAAACATAGTCTTGTGACTACCAGCTGCTGCTCAGTGAGGGAAACAGAAACTAACACCCACAATCCCCAGAATTCTTGGGTGATGTTTCACCAAAGCCCAAATAGTTATTTTGGATTCATATAGGCAATAAAATATATTCAGGTTGCTTTTTTACAGCTTTTATTCAGGGGATGAGATTACCCTTTGCAGACTGCCAAGAATCCCCTCCTTTCCATGCAGCAGTGGTTTCAAGCTCCTTACAGGCAAGTGGTGCAGGCCCTGGGCTGACAAGATCTGTGGTAGGATTCTTACTGGATGAGAACCCTAGGCTCTTCAATGCCACCGTTTTGTTGACACAGCCTTTTCACATTTTAGTATCTACATGAAACCACTGAGTAAGGTCATCCAAAATTGTGGAGTAAGTTTTCAGCAATATGCGGATGACACACAGCCTTACTTCTCCTTTACATCTGCAGGTGGAGCAGTGGATGTGCCAGACCATTGTCTTGCCTTGCTAGTGGACTGTAAAAGGTAAAGGTAAAGGTACCCCTGCCCGTACGGGCCAGTCGTGACCGACTCTGGGGTTGCGTGCTCATCTCGCTTAAGAGGCCGGGAGCCAGCGCTGTCCGGAGACACTTCCGGGTCACGTGGCCAGCGTGACAAGCTGCATCTGGCGAGCCAGCGCAGCACACGGAACGCCGTTTACCTTCCCGCTGGTAAGCGGTCCCTATTTATCTACTTTCACCCGGGGGTGCTTTCGAACTGCTAGGTTGGCAGGCGCTGGGACCAAACGACGGGAGCGCACCCCGCCACGGGGATTCGAACCGCCGACCATGCGATCGGCAAGTCCTAGGCGCTGAGGTTTTACCCACAGCGCCACCCGCATCCCTGCTAGTGGACTGGATGAGAGTCAATAGACTGAAATTCACTCCAGATAAGACAGACACACTGTTAGTGGTCAGTTCCCTGTATCAACTTTGTCGCCCTCCTATGCACACATTCCAGCTTGTCAATATTGATTCTCACTGTGTATTTTTATGTTATAAACCACACTATGAGCCTCTGATGAAGCAGGTATACAAATTTAATAAATAATAAAATAATTATTTTATTTCTCCATGTTCTTGTGGCCTTGGAAACTATTTATGTTTTACCGGAATTCTACATAGGGAGATAGCTAGCAGGAAACTCCCATGTAAAACTTTAATGTTCTCAAAGGCTTGGCAAGCATTCTGTGATCACTGTGAGACCATATTCTACTTTATCTCTATAAGACAGATCACCCCTGCCCCAACTGCATCCCCACCCCCCATTTGTACGCATTTCACTAAGTCCTTTGCAATAAATGCTAAATCTGCAGGTTCATAGAATTGCCGACTACACAGATTCATATTAACTGATACATCCATAGGTTATAGTTATGAAGATATGCAAGGCCTTATGGAGGGAAAATTGATGGCATCACACTATCTCCTCCTGATAACAATACTCTTCCTCAGTGTGACACTACAGGTGCATACAGGGAGGAAGCCTTTGAGGGGCGTGATTAACATAAAAATAGATCACGAATCACACTGTACTTTTAAAAACAAAAACACCCATCGTTCAGTCAGAACACAAAATAAGTCCTGGAGAGAGTGAGTGTGTGTGTGTGTTATTGTAACCTTGGAGATATTATACTCTCTACATAAATTAAGAAGAGCTTCATGTTTTCCCACCATTTTGCCTGCAGCATCCTTTTTTCTATTAATAGGCCTAAACTCGACGACCTTCTTAAAGCACAGCTTATGCACCTCAAGCCAGAGAGAGCTACAGCACTTCAGTAAGCTACTGCACATCTTTTTGGCATGCTTCTCAGGCAAAACATCAGACAAGCAGACAACTCAGATCCAAAAGTAAAGCATTTGAAGAATAATAGGAGCCACCTTGTTTTGCCCTTTATAAGATAAGAGATAGGGAGGCCAGCAAGCAAAGGGATGCAGTCATCGAGGGGGGAAGAGATCATTGGTCAGAGAATAAATATTATAATGGAAAAAAGAAACCATCATTAATAACAGCAGTAAAATCTAGGAGCTGGTGGGACTGAGTAAGAACCATTTCAGAGGGAGGGAAAGGTGGAGACCTGCCCAAAGCGTGTGGCAATCCTGCATGCCACTTTGAACTGTCTGGAGACAGGCAGGGAGAAAAGAAAACTGTGAACAAAACAGCAGACTCCAACCTCCCCTTTTTACATTCTATAATCATTAAGATTCTTTGTAATAAATGAATAAATAAATAAATTACACTAATGTCTGGAGAGGTTCTCTTCAATGCAAATTCAATACATGTTTGCAATCTGATGAAATTCATGTGTCTTACCTGATATCCTGGCATGAAGGTTCTGTTTAACAACAAAGTCATCCATTTGAGGAACGGACTGAGAAAGGGTCATGGCTGCCCTGCGCAACGCATTGTCAAAAATGGGGAGCACTTCATTGGGAAAAGCATTGAAATATTCACCAACTTCCATGTTGGTCTCAAATAGCGTCATAGCATCAACAATAACTGGGTAATGTGTATCATCATCTTTTTCTCTTAAAATCAGCAAGAGGTCGTTTTTGTGGTGTTCCAGAACATACGACTCAAACACTTGTCCAATTAGGTTTATCTGTTCAGTACTTAGAAGCATAGTGAACCTATAATTAGAAGATGAAAAAAAAATACATTAAGCCAGTAAAAATGCACATCTTTAAATTATTTGCGGACAACCTTTCTTTTTCTTTTGGGTTCCATTGTGAGGGATGGCTATAAATTGAATAAATGAATAAAATAATTTTTAAAACACATTCTGGACTTGTTTCTACAATTGACTTTGGACTTTTATCATGTTTTCTGCCTACCGTAGTTTCTAGTGGAAATTCTCTCCCACATCTCCTGTACTTCTACAAATTTCAGTAACAATGTTTATTTTTACATGGTGTGTTCCCCACCAACTTTTATTTATTCATATTCTTATTTAAACAATTTACATACTGCTTAACTACAGTAGTCTCTAAATGATGCATAGAAAATACAATAAAGATAAACATCAGTTAAAACTATAAAATCAGAGATTAGTTAAAATGCCTGCTGGAATAAATAAGTGTTCCATAGGCGCCAGAGGTTCAACAGGGTTGAATGACCTCAACTGGAAGGAAGTTCCATAAAACTGGGCCAACAATACAAAATGCATGATTATGGGTGGATACGAGCCATGCCTCTGAACCATGGGGGACCACCAACAGTGTTTCCTCTAATACCTCAGTGATTGGGCAGGTATAGGCCAGAGATCACCAACTGGATGCTTGTGCGAACCATGGTGTCCATGAAAATGTCCCAGAAGCTGAGCTTTCATTTTTTAAAATGTAAGTCTCAGGCCCTCCTAGAAAGAAAATTATGGGGCGATATGTGCAGGTACTAAGCTGCACCCCCAAACTTGCTCTTTCAGAGGAACTGCAACCCCAACCAGAACTGGAAATTTTCTAGTCTCTCGGACACAGGAACCACGAACCCACAGAGCCTCTGTCTTCCCAGGGTTCAGGTTCACTTTATTGGCCCTCATCTAGTTCACTGTGCCCAGATAACGCTTGACATCACACACAGCCTCTCCTGATTCAGATATTATGGAGCAGTAGAGCTGTGTGTCATCTGTGTACTAATGACACTTTGGGACCAAACTCCAAAAAGACTGCATGGGAGACAATAATGTACCTATTATACCTATCTGGTGTTTAACAAATGATAAACATTATTACTGATATAGTAAATCAGTTCTTATCCCACCATACCTATTTATTTAAACCGACAAATTTAAAACTGCTCTTTCACGCACAGAGTTCTGAAAAGGCAGGATTTAAGTTTTAGCAGGCAGGCAAGAATTTCGGAAGCTCTGTTCTTTTATTGCAACATGTGAGCTGCCCTGAAAATTAAAGGGTGGTGTTATACTGCAAATTGGCTGAGCAAATAAGTAAATAAATAAATAAATGTTTGCTTTTAAATTGAATTAATTAAAAATTAATATTTTTAATAGCTCCTAATACTCTGGGCATGTATCAGCTGTAGTTTGGTTCAGTTATCAACCTGAGCAATGCTCACTGGTTAACTTCCATGTATCTAAGACACTGGGGCAGCCAAGGTGGCTCCCTCCAGATGTTAGGATCCAGCTCCACTCAGACCCAGCTTGCAAGGGTCAGGTATGATGTAGTCCTACATTTACAGGAGGGTGGCACCTTGCCTACTCCTGTTCTGAAGACGGGTGCAGGAGCTCACAGAAGAACTTTTGCCTTCTGACCAGGAAGCCTTGAAAACTCTCTTTTTGGTGCTTCAGGACTGAACAGGAAGGAAGAAACCAGGACTCCTGCACCAGAAATCACTGTGGAGAAGAGATAAGCTGGGCAGCTGCAAGATTTTGAGGGGGACAGTGGAGGCCAAATCCCTTCTCCTCCACCGCCATGTCGCCCTTGACTTCTGGCCTCCTTATTCATTTTTTATCACAGGTGTTCTTGCAGCTCACCCGGCAAAGCGGTCCCCACAAAAACCTAACACGCTGCTGACTATGTCCCCAGAGCGGAGGGAGAGGCACTTTGCGCATGTTCTCTTCTCCACTGAGCTCTGCTTGAAAACATCGCGCGCCTCAGGCTAAACCTTCTCAGGCAAGCGCTGTGTGTGGACGGGGGAGGGAGGGGGGCACCGAGCCGGCTGCAGCCCCAGAAGGAAGCGGTATTTCCCGCCTCCGGAGCGCAGCGCTCGTGGGAAGCAAAGCACCGCCCCGCCGCCGCGCTCAGGGCGCCGTGAGCCCCCGGGGGTTGATGGTTTTGTGACTTGTTGCAAAGAGCAGAAGCCGTAAAGGGGCGGCGGGAGAAGCCGGCTGCAAGCGAGGCTGAAATGGAAGAGCCGCCTGTGTACAAACCAATTCCGCCACTATGGGAGACGCACCTCTTCAGGCGGAGCGGCGTCTTCGCCAGGAAGCGTGTGGAGGAGGAAGTAGCCCCGGAGGACCGCGTTATTGGGGGGAAAGAGAAAGAAAGAGCTCCCCCGCCTTTCCTCCGGGGGCTCCGTCAGGACTTACCCAGGCGGGTCGGCCGGCCACTCCTCGCAGTCTTCGCTGCCGCCGGCGGTAGTAGCTGCGGTGGGTGGGACGAGCGCTGTGCAGTTGGCGGGAGCGACGAGGCGCCTCTCGGTCCCCGCCTTCTCTCCCAAGTTCGCTCAGGCCTGTTCAGCTGAGCTGGCTGCTGGTTATTAGGAGGAGCTTGGGAGAGTTGATGCGAGACGCCGGAGAGAAGAGGAGGAGGATAGTGATGCCTCTCTTCTCAGAAATAAACCCAAGGAATCAGTTAGCGGTGGGGAGAAAGTGAGTTGTTACTCCCCTCTCCTCCCGCCCCTAACTAGAGGTCAGGCCAGGGGTGCAAAGATTAACAGCGCGCGAGCATAGGCGTGCAGTGGGGTCTTATGTCCCGGTAACTTGCCCTTTTCATGTGAGCCTCGCATGGGCATCGGATTGCGTCCTAGCCTAAGACTCTTAACGGGATTACCTGGAAGGTATTGCCCATTGAACTTCGTACGACTTGTGAATAAATATAATGGTAGGCATATGTGTTTATTAATTAAGCACCTAAGTGGCAGGGATTGTCGGGAACAACGTATATGCAAAATATGGAGAGTTGTGGGGGTTAGTGTGCACAGTGCCTAAGTCCCTTCTAAATTCTGGGGTTCTGGATCCAACGAGGGTTAACACTGTGTAGGATTCCATAATTGAAGCAGCCAGGCTAGCTTCTTTGTGTGTTAATGGGCCTAAGCGTGCTTATTAGTATAACAGAAGTGGTTTTGTTGCAGAGGGCAAATTGGTGGGTCCTGCTTCCTCACCTGGCTTATAGTGAGGACAGTGGTGTGTGAGAGAGCTGAGAGCAAGGAGCAGGCAGAAGCCAGTGAGTGAGAGCCATGCCTGATTTCTGCTGGAATCCAAGGCTGTGACTATGGGAGAAGCAAGACCTTCTAGGGTGTTAATGCTGTGAACCCCTCCATTGTAGGCTCAGGTTGTATAGATGTATAAATAAACCATGTATCATAAAGACAACACACACTCTGCTGTCTCTCATTTCAAGGAAACTGAGCCCTGGTTAAGCTCCTGAAACCCCTGGAATGTCACACTGCTTGGAGATTAGGGTGGTGTGCAACAATATATAAAGGTAGAATGCATTCAGTTTCCATACAGTAGGAAAATCTACCGGTACTTTATAAAAACCCTGAACTCGTGGGGACAAGGACTAAACTGATCTTCCAGGCGTTGCTGGACTACAAATCCCATACTCACTGGTGGTTTGCCATGCTGGCTGGAGCAGATGAAAGGTAGAATCCAACATGTGGAGAGCTACAAGTTACTCAATCCCACCACAGGCATTCTCAGTCTCTGCCTCTGTGTCCAATATGGGGATGATAATACTGGCCTACCTCATCAAACTGCTGGAAGGATTACTGAGATACTGTATAGGAAGTCCTTTGAACACTTAAAAAACACACCTTAAGTTTGAGTACTTGCCTGCAGTCCTCCATCCAGAAACAACTGGGTACAATGACTGCTTTGGCACTTTTTCTAGCTGCATTGTGAGTTGTTACGATAATCTTTATTGTCATTGTCCCATACAGAACAACGAAATTGAAAAATCTACATAAGACATTCAAAAACCAACAAGCCTGCTATCCCAGCCATCCCAACCTGGTTAGCCCCCTAAAAACTCTGATACCCCATTTTTAAATACAATATACTCCCATAGATACTCCTTACACTGCGTTTAAAACCAAAATTGCATTTGGATAGAAACTGTTTCTCAGGTGGCTAGTCCTAGTCTTATGTTGCCTATGTTTATGTGGAATTTCCGGGGTGGGGTCGGGTGGCACGTTTCTATCCCCCCCCCCATGAACCCTCATGTCTGAAGTCTTTAAAACAGAGGTGGCTAATCTGTGGCCCTCCAGCTGCCACTGAACTACAGCTACCAGTCCCAGCCAGCATAGCTGGGATTAATGGGAATTGTGGTATAACTACATCAAAAGCTCTGCAAGTTAGCCACCTGTTTTAAATTGTAGAAAATGCCTTTAAAAAAATTAAGTATGACCTTATGCAGTGCTCCTTTCTGCCTTCATTCTTCCCTTCCTGACTGGATAATCAGGGCTGACCTTTGTTTCTCTCCTGCCAATACACTGATGCCGATGATGCCACTGCAACTATAAAATAGTTGGTTTCACAGGCAACCTATAGTATTGTTGTCTACATGCTTGCCTTGGGCTTTTTACCCAAACTACTGTAGAGTTGTACTGTTCTATGTTCAGTAGGTGGTAACAGCTAACAGTCAATTTAGCTAATCTATTGTCTAAATTCCAGTGATAAAGGTGGAGCATGCAGATGCTCAGTTAAGTTGGCCTTCCTTTTGGACACGCACCACATCGGTGACAAGGTACAGAGCAGGATAAGGACTTTCCTTAAGACCCAAGGGTACATCATACAGAGCAGAATCAGCATAAATCATAAGCAACTGTGTTTATTCAAGAATTGCCTTTTGCTCATAGCATGCTTTTTGGGTTCCATCACAAATGTTAATAAATAGAAGGTGACAAGAGTTTCCTTTATTCATCCATTTCTGAGGAGCAATGTATGTGTAAATATCTTATCAATGTGCATTCCCACAATTTAGAACCTATTATTTTAAAAGTTTAGTGTGTTGGTGGGGAGAGCAACTTACAAACTGACAACACAGACAATAGAATGATTCGTTCTCGGCATACTTATATTGCTGAAAATTATTATCTCCTTATGCCCAGTTTGCATTCTCCCAGGATTCCTCAAAGGACATTGTGATTATTTTTACAGCACTTTTATTATTATTATAAGTGCCATCAATAAGCTTAGTGTTTTGCCTAGGTTCATAAGCAACCAAAGAATCTAAATTTTGACAGTGGGAAGAGCAAGAGGGTAGGGGAGCAAGAAATGACAATTGTAAGGAACAAATACAATGTATCTCTTACTTGGTTATTACAACTGGGAATGAGGATTTGAGGTTTAAAGAACTGCTTCAGAAAAAAAGCACAGCAAAGAATCAGGGCAGTATCTTAAAGATTAACAGTTTTATTTGTTGTGACATTAGCTTCTGTGTAATAGAATTCATTTCATTAGATGCATCAGATCCAGCAGATGAAGATGATTTTAGTCCATGAAAGCTTATGCCAGAATCAATCTGTTAAGTCTTTAAGATGCCCTAAGACTGTTTTTGCTGCAATTGACTAGCAGAGAGAAGTGGCACCACAAGGAGTTCCAACCTTGTGGTGCAAATAAGATTAAACTGGTATAGGCATTTGGGGATTGGAACAGGCTGTTGAGAGAGCTGAAGGCCTAGAGGCCACAGATAGACACATACAAAAATATTAAAGCAGAAGGGCAAGGTGGAGCAAGCGTCTGAATTACTCTGAAGCGAAGGACAGGTTAAAAACAAAAACAGTAAAACAAAACTCGTTTGATCAGGATATTTAAAAAGCTGTGGAATTATTTTCCCAGCAATGCCAGGATTGTGTCCATATGGTGTAGTCCTGCGTAAACTTTCTTACGTTTCTTTGACTTATGGTGTAGCTTCATCCACTTTTGCCATCAAGCCCTGCCCATGCTATATGATATAGTGACATAGTATGTAGGCATCTTTGAAAACACATTGAAAGGAGTAGAGAACAGCATTTTCCACCACACACACGCAGGTCTGGACCACAGAAATCATCAACCTAAAATAGTCTGACTGGGGCGGGGGCTTGTATTTTGCTTGTGGGAGGTGGGAGGAGAAAAGGGGTTTGTCTTTAAAAATTGATAAGGATAGTGCGGATGGTGAGGGGTTTTCCCATCTAGAATTGATAAGTAAAGCAATATTTTTAAACGTTATGTCCAAATTTCTAATTCCTGTCTGTGGAAGGTAAGAACAAGCTTAAATAATGCAAACTTTCCATTGGAGATAGTGGATAGCTTCACTTAATCAAGTCACTTTTGTGTGTACACCACATAAAGGGAAAAGCTGTGGGAAACTGTCCTCAAGATTGTGCAGTGCAGCCAGCCCCCAAGTACACGTGAAAGGGACTTTATATGTGAAGGATACATGAGTTGCTCAGGGGCGCCGACTTATAAAAAATATTGGGGGGGCCCATACCGGGGTCCTGCCCCGGGAAGTTTTCTAAGTTCCAATGTCAGCGGCGCCCAGCAGAGCAGCCCTCTCGGCCACGGCAGCCCGGGTCTCCCAGCCCCCGGGGGCCGCCCTCCTCCCTCGCGCACCCGCAGCGTTCCTGCCCAGGGAGGCGGCGCCCCCAGGAGAGGCGGCGGTGGCAGCTGCCGCCGCGCGCGGCCCGGGCTCCCCTCGCCGGCCGCGGGAGCCAAGGCACGCGACGAGGGCAGCCGAGGAAAGGAGCGCGCGGCCCCGTCCCGCCCTCGCCACTCACCCTTCTGCAGCGGCCCCGCCGCGGCGGCGGCGACTCCCGCAAGGCCCGGGTGACGTCACCGGCAGAGGACGTTTCCGCTGCGCGCGCCCAATAATTTTCTTAAATTATTGGGGGGGGGGCAGAGCCCCCTCAGGCCCCATGGAGTCGGCGCCTATGGAGTTGCTGATATGAGAGGATGATTTTTGGAAGAAGATTTACGCATCTAGCTCATTTACAGGCCTTTTAAGGCAAGTTTTAAAACTGCTTCAGGACATCTAGGAGCTCTTTGACACTTATTAGGGTTGCTCAGTTAGTAGTTTCTCTGAAATGAATAAGGTTCTCTGAAAGGCAGCATGCCTAGCAATATTGATCTTCCCCCATGAAGAGCATTTTGTAAACAAGAAAACCGAAGGAAAGTAAACTTTAAAGATTGCTATACCTATACATAAAGGTAAAGGTAAAGGTACCCCTGACCGTTAGGTCCAGTTGCAGATGACTGGGGTTGTGGAATTCATCTCGCTCTATAGGCCGAGGGAGCTGGCGTTTGTCCACAGACAGCTTTCGGGTCATGTGACCAGCATGACTAAGCAGCTTCTTGCAAACCAGAGCAGCGCACAGAAACGCCGTTTACCTTCCTGCCGGAGCAGTACCTATTTATCTACTAGCACTTCTGGTGTGCTTTCGAACTGCTAGGTGGGCAGGAGCTGGGACCGAGCAACGGAAGCTCACCCCGTCATGGGGATTTGAAACACTGACCTTCTGATTGGCAAGCCCTAGGCTCTGTGGTTTAGACCACAGCACCACCTGCGTCATACCAGGTGCAAATATTTCTCACTTTTAGAGCTCTTTTGATAAAATAATGTAGTGACCTCAAAGAAGAAAAAAGAAACACAACACAACAAATACTTCAGAACATCATAGCAAAATCATCCAGTGTGTTTTATTTCACACAATAGCCAAGAAATCTGACTTTGACTCGATATGGCTTTCTTCTAATGTAAAGGCTGCATATACCTACAGTTAAAACCATCAACCATAGAGTATCTGCCAAACACTGCTTTAGATTAGCAGCAAAACATTAGAACACTGCTTCCAGTGAAGCTTTCAGGCTGAGTTTGCAAGAGATACATTTTTAAAATTCTGATTTAGAATATTTTATATTTTATATGAAAACATACAAATTATTCTTTTATACATATGCTACATATAAAACTTATTGTAACTATTAATGGTACCTTTGATTATGTTTTTGCATAATGGGAAGACATGGTCAGGGCTTCAGCAGAAATAATGAAGAGCTATAATTCTGTATCGAAGGATAAAAATCTTATTTAAAATAACCAAGCAATCCCCCCTCTTTTTTTTAAAGATACAAATATCAGGTCTGAAAGTACATTCATAAAAGAAAAAAATTCTCCCTGAGATTACCAGTGTCAGCTGCATTGTGGTAATCTTGGAATTGACAACATCATCAACAAAAGTATATAAACCAGATTTGCCATGGTATTACATATTTTCTGCCAGAGAGATTGCACATCTGTAAGACAAGTGGAATAGAGTGGAAAATCAGGCTCATTTGCCATATGAAAAAGGTCATGTGGTCCCTGGCTTAATTTTATAATGTAAGATGGAACATCTTTCTTTGTAAGTTAAGTATGCTGGAGCTCTAATGAAAGATTTGCATGCTTTATTATGCATAATTGATTTAGCACTATTTTTTTTTGTAAAGCCTGAGTTTTGCTCCCAAATTATAATGTCCTCAAAATGCAGATTTCCATAAATGATTATTCATTAATACAGCATTACATAGTGTAGTACCCCACATGTTCTAAAGAGCACTGTCTTTGTAGATATTTATAAAATATTTGACAAAAGTTTGATGAAATCCAACATTAAAATATAGTAATTATAATTACTAAAGGGCAGATCAGTTGTAGATAAGAAATAAGGATGTCATGTTCTTAAAATCACTCTAAAGGCCATCAGCTATACTACTGCTATTTATTTTGCATTCTTCACCACTTTTAGAGTAAACACAATTTTAAAAGTCAAGTTCTACAAGATAACTAAATAAAAACAGAAGGATTTAAACATATCTTCCCGCAATCTGATTTTTAAACTGTTGACAGTTTATTTTGATATACAATAACCATGCAACTGATTGCATTTGGGATGGGAGACAGGAGGGGGAAAGCTTTTCCTGAAACCAAAGAAAATACATATTTATAGGAAAATGGGTAGGAAGCTTTAAGTTTCTTCTACGAAAATTTGTTATGCAGTAATTACAAAGTTTAAATACTCTTCCATTTTAAATAAAAATAAAAGTGTCATTAAGCACATTTATATTACCATGTCAAGTGATTCCAACAAATATCACATAAAATACAGTGCATTTTCAAATCAGAGACAAAATACTTTCTCATTCACAGTGTTTGACATATTACAGGTAAGCTTGTTCACATAAGGGTTTATTTTAAGGTCATGCTCTTATGAACAGTCCACACCACACTGTGCCACACACAAAAATAATCTCTCAGAATGTGAAGTAACGGGCAAACCATTCCTGACGTTGTGGATCGGGTGAAGCCATTGGAGAAGCTTCAGTCTGAGGAGGGCTAAATTCATAAAAAGAAAAGACAGATTTAACCTACAACCAACAGTGAAAATGCAGAAGGCCTGGAAAAAGCACAAAGAAGCCAATACATAGCACACGATGTTTGCAAATCAAGTATGACGTCATAGGATAACCTGATTTAGTTAATGCCCATTTTTACTATTTCCGATCATCCACTCCATTGGAGAGCATCAGCAGCACATGGTCACTAAGCCACATAAGAGGGTGGGGGAAAATAGTATTTTTGGGGAGGCGGGGGAATGAATGGGATGGCTGCCTTTTTAAAAAAATGTACTGTGGGGAAAAGCGATTTTTGGAAGATCCTCTTTTAGCATCCTTTTCTTCTGGTCAAATTAGTTATCAGAAGTATGATGCAAGCATCATATTCTTAAATACGTGCAGAATGAAAACTAAACTATGTATTTTAACTGTTTCATAGCCCAAACTGAATTATTGTAGGTTCATGCACAAGGGGTTAGATATGTTATAACAAGGAATTCAGTGCAAAGCAAACACACTTGCCACCCACAAATATAATTCCCAAATATACCTGCATGATGTAATCTTTATATTACTTTAACGTGCTAGTAAAATGTAATTGTTAGAAAAATTAATAAAATAATCCCTACCGTTTTTGGGGGGTAATACAAGGCACGAAATAATTTGCAATGGAAACTCCAGCATCGCAATCCATGAATTCATGCACATGCATGTTAGTGACGCCTGAGCAAACATGCATACCACATGCACAGGGAAAAATAAGGAACATTTAATATTACAGGAACTCTACTTTGCCTTTAGAAAAAAAATACTATAAAATTTTATCATTCTCTCTTCTGCCCCCAGACTATATTTTGCAGGTAATACTGAAGTTGAATTAAGAAGCAGTATGGAAAGGGCTTTTACTCACCAGACTATCAAGCACTATATATTTGACTTAATCTGATAGTAAAACTCATTCCATCACTTCCTAAAGCAAAGCTAAACTTGGGTATTTTAATGCTGAAACCCAGCATTAAATACATGCAGATATTTACACATATTCTAAGCTTGCTTCCAATAAAGATTTTATCTGAGGTAAGGAAAGGGAATAAATCAGCACACATTCATCTAACACAGAAAACAGTTTTTTCAGGTAAGATCCACTGTTACACAATAAAGACCTTTAATATGGGGATTGTAACATTCTGAAAGGACAGCTAGTAATAACACAAACATTTAACACAATTGTTCATAAATGTAAACAATTGAAAGCACATGAACCATACTGACTGTGTAGTTCATTAGAAAAATGAAAGAAGGGTTCCAGACTTATTAGAAAAGGGGAGAGGAATTACATTTCAACAAGTTTTACAATAAAAAAGGAATACTGTAAAGAGGCTTAAAATATAGTGTGAAAATTAAGATTCCAAAGTAAGATTTGTACTCCTGTGTTGTTCTTAAAGACATGTGGGTTCAGCTAAAAAGAAATAAAAAATTTCTCCAAGTTAGGAAAAACAAAAACTGGTGAGGCAGTGCTCACCTCAAAACCGTCTTGGGCTCTTTGGGTGGTATAGGATGTGGAAGTGGTCTGCTGCTGTTGAACTCAATATCATGGATGGGTGAATTTGGAATAGGATCCAGGCGGTTAGCATGTCCATTGCCCACTCCACTAGATTCCAGAGCACTTAGATTGGGGACACTCACAAACCTGTTTGCTGATTTATCATTCTTCTTCTTTTGCTGCATTGAAAATAACAAATGTAAGGAAGGGCCTGTACAGATAAGGAAATTACTTGGGCTTTTAAAATTCTCATTTCTTTGTTTCACCTGAAAGTGAGGGTTTGGATATTATTTATTTATTACAGTTTTAGTACAGCTGCATTTAAAGCGTTCTCCAGAGGGATACGAAAGCTAAATGCTCCAGCCAGTTTACTGCAATATTGAAGAGCTTGACTTAGCTTTAAATAATTTTGACAGTTTTAGTCTGTATGCAGATTCTTCTTCTTAAAGAACAATGTTAACTTTCTTGTTTACACTAACATGGTATTGGTCCAACTACAGAAATGTAGTGGGAGAATCTGTTAGTTTCTAGTCTAATTACAGCCTCTTCCCAATCCCCATGCAACTTAAAAGAAAACTAGTAAACTTCACTCCTAAAGGAAATCTGACAGATAGAAAAAAACCCCTCTCTATGAAAGTATATAATGGGCTAGATCAAGACTTAGTCACAATGAGGGACCCACATGTGGGGGGCTGCTGAGGGCCCAGTCAAACATGGTTCCACAGTACTTTGTATAGGACTATATTATCCACCAACACTCTTTCTGTGGCCATGATCTTTCTAAAATGTTTACTCACAAATGAAACTTGTTTAACAAAGGTCTTTTAAAATATTAATTAAAAGTTTCCTGTTCACAGAGTCCGCTTGTTTAACTGCTTCCCTCTTGGTTCTAACTGGAGAACTGATTGATAGCTCCTTAATTGCTCCTTGAATAATCAATCTCTTAATTGCCCTAGTGTCAGTTTATGTTCTCATTGTGGTGGGGGGCAACATTTATTACAGATCTATTCAGTTTATTATTCTTTTCATATTTTATGTCAAAATAAAACTATAAGGAATAAAAATAATGAAAGGAAACCAGTCATTAAAGCCTCCCTGGTGAGAACAGAAAAAATAAATAAATTGGGACAACTACCATACTTTCAAATCGACAGTAAGCAATAAAATGGGAAGGAACTGTAAATAGGAAACTTTTATCTAATCATATACGAGACCTGAGAAGCCTCAATAGTACTTTCCTGTCTATACTGGACAGGCTGGTCAATTGTGTTTTATTGCTGCAAAAAAGAGAGCCACAAATCAGGTATGACAGGAGTTTAATACTGAAAGCACTTGATAGCTACACTTTGACATTGACATTGTCCCAATTCTTTGTAAAATGTGGGTGAACAAAGAATGGCAATTCCAGAGGAAAAAGGCTATTGTGAAAGCAACCTTAGTGAGTTTTTCCAGCCGCATGCCAGGCTGTTTCCACTAGATGGCACACATGGATCTATTCTTCAGAGTGAAGTATCCTTACTGCAAGACTCCAACAGACAGATGAACTGGTGATGCCACTAATAAGATTTTAGTATCAACCATTTATCAGTTTGCAAAAACCAGACAATTATTTGCTTTTTAAAAAAATCAAGTCAAAACTTCAATTTTGCCATAACATTTGTGATGTTTTGGTTGGTCCTAATATAAAATGTATTGTCAAACTGGGTTTTACTTTTTTTCCTAGACCAACACTGCTTCCCTTGCTTTTTCTCCACAGTGTGCATGGGATTTGGATCTCAAGAAACAACTTCATAATGACTGCACATCCCCTGCACAATTGAATAGTCATCTAGAAGGGGCCTAAGAGATCAAACCGCAGAAAGGACTAACAATGTAGAGATTTGGAAAAAGGAAACCTCCATGTCTGCAGTAATTCTTAAAAAGGTTCGGGTTTGTCGTCCCAGGCAGTAGGTTGTGGGGGACAGGAAAATAGCATCCTGCTCTGATGTTGCTGCATGTCAGAGGGGAGAGGCATACCACCAACCTCTGAAGTAAGTGGAGCCTGGTTGCAATATAAGGAGTCACCGAGCATGTGCTGTACCCTTCTCTCTCATGCCATGTCACTGTCAGGACCAGCAGGAATGTAAAGGAGGAGTCAGGGCCTGAGGATGAGGAGGTATGGCTGGCTATGGCCTACCTGCTTATTAGAAGACATGGGTGACCATAGAAAGCCCTGCTTCCTTGCCCACCCCAGGAAGAGAAGTTGAGAAAGTACAGTGGTAGAATATGACATGAACCTGCAGGCTTCCTTCTCCTGGACACTCTGAGAGAAGGAAGCCTGTATGGGGCACAAAGGGGAGAAAGACTTTTGTCCCTTCATGCCCTGCCCCCCTGCTGCCAGCATCTTGCCACTGATAGAAAGAAGTCTCTGGGGGCGTCCTTCTTTCGGTTTTTTACTGAAAAAATTCAGTAAAAACAAAACTGCACACTCTAAAACATAATACAGGAGCATATTGCTGCATCATACACACTCCACTCTGCCCATTCCGTCTCCCCAAGAACCAAACTTTAAGCCTTGGGAGAACAAACCTTGTATTCTGCTTGTGCTTTGCTTAGTGGGAAATAAACCACAGTGTAGGCGTGCAGAAGTGGGCACAATTCAGCAGCATGCACTAGCACACTGCTCATTGATGAGAGCCATCATTACTGACCATGGCTTACTGTTACTGATGCTGTTGAAAACCACATGCAGCTGGCTTTCTTTTGTGTGTCTTTCACAGTGTTATTGATCCTTTTTATTTGTGTAATATTAGTAATTCACGTTTTCCCAGTTTCGACATTGTAAATGTATGACATACCTTCACCAGAGGGTTAATAACACCAACATTAGGACTTGCATTAAACACCTTGTTGAAGTTAGTCTCCCTATTGACTAGTTCCAGTTGATAGAATTTCTTGTCATCCTAATAAATAACAAAAAGATTAAAATAAATTTCTGTATCAGTCAACTTGGGTATTAAGTTACTATGGCCAGACTGACATTCACTCACTCAAGAGCTCATTAATTACTCAAATCTGAAGGTTTAGAACTTAAACTCAAAACTGTAACTCATTACCAGAAGTCTGAAAGGTGGTCATTTTCATACTCAGCATAATTCTTACATTCATGAGTGTGCCAGAGTGATTCAACTTCATCCTCTACATGGGGATTTTTACCTACTTCCTTCCTTTCATGGACAGCTGTACAAAGAATTGCATTGGCATTCATAACTTCCTAAAAATTCTTTGGATGCTGGGATCATGCCACTGGTTTCATCTATGTCCCAAACCATATTTGCAAGTTACTTCTATATCACACCAAGGAAAGCCACCAGTGGAATCCACCATAGCTGGGATGAAACAATGGGATTCTGAGTTCCTGCTGGGCATGTGTCCTTGTGCTAGCATGCAAGTTTAATAGGAAAAATTGCAGTGGCTCACAGAAATTGGCCGCTCAGGAACACCACTCCACCACCCTAAAACACTGTTTTTTCCCCACTTTGTACACAACATCCAAGAACTTCAGAAGATAAGAGAATTATCATTTTGCACTCCCCACCTCCTCCAGTTTATGAGAGCTCACTTAGGGTTCCCTGTTGGAGGCTCCCCCAAATCCTGAAGACAGCACAGGGAAAACTAAACATTATTTTGAGATAAGACATTAAAATTACTTTAAAATTAAGGATGCAATTCCTTACTTCATTTTGGCATGCTTTTGAACTTACTTTGTATTTATAATTTAGGTCTTTACAGAGTGGTAAAAGAGCAGGTCTTCTGCCTGCTCTAAATCCATTCAGGATTATGATTGCTCTACCATATAAAAACAAGTAATTTAAGGGGTATCCAATGCAAGGACTGTATTCTCAGGAGATTTGACAAGAGTTATTAGCCTTTGGCATGCTCATACCAAAAGAGCACCAAACTGTCTTACAATCAGTTTCTTTATTAGCTGATCCCTCTCAGCAATCAGGTCTTTCAACTCTGCAATAAGCTGTACATCTTCTGGTCTTGATTCCCTGTTTTGATATTTTTCTTCCATTTCTTCTAAACTTTATAGGAGACAAAACATCACCCATGGGTTAATAATAGTCCGAAGTTCAGATATAATGCCATAAAAATCATACTATCAAACTAACTCAATGAATAAACCACAAGAGCTATTATGTGATCTTCTACATACTAACTGATTTCTTTAATGCTTGGCTACAATAAAGGAAATGGCATTTTGAGCTTGTGGGCCACCATCTGCCATAATCAGAGTGGGAGCCGCATAACCGATGTTTACTTCTTCCCCACAAAAGATACTAAAGCTAAAACAACTAAAACAAATCCACAAATGTGTAAGACAGTATCAGACTAACTGCTGAGGAACAATTTAACAAGAACAGTATAAGTGCCACAAATGACAAATAGCAATTACATCAAGAAAATTGTGAGATGGCTTTAAACAGGGAATGAAGAAGCATTAAAGGAGAGAATGGAAATAAGCACACCAATTTACATAGAAGCTGTAAGGAAAGCCTAATAAAACAAAGCCTAGCATTCGTAGAGGTTAGTAACTTTTGAATACAACTGTGGATTGCTACTTGGTATTGAATCATTATTCATATTCTTGAACGCTAACAAATGGGTTAAGAATATTAATTTCCAGATGACAATAAATGAAAGGGCTAATTCACAATTAAGCTTTATCTTGTAGGTGGGCCATGTTGTGGGGTGTGGGGAGCACAGGTGTGAACTGGGGCTTACATGATTGGGCTGTGAACCTGTCCTGAGCTATCTATCAATTATGTCTGCATGGAAAAGCACTTTTTTCTAAAATTACTTTCAGAAGAGGCAATGGAATTACAAGTAGGTAAAATACCTTAGAAAGTACCTTCTATCGGTCAGTTAGTCAGCCCAAATTTGACTCTCAGAAGGGCTCTTGGACTAGATCTAATGCAGCAGTTTCAAAGGAGTATGTATATAGAAGTAGACACTTGATTTTGATCATACATTACTATCTAAGCTTCAGGCTCAGACGAATGACAGATGATGAACAAGAGTTTATTCAGTCCATCTCATATCCTAGCACTAAGATTATATCCCCTGGCTAATTGCTGTTAGTCTGGTTGCGTGGAAAGTTTAAGAGAGTCAAGTAGCTCAGATTTCCTTATATAGCAGTTTTTTCAAGGATACAATATTTTTTAATCTGACCATAACCATGTGCACAAAAATAGTGTAAGAGATGCTTACCAACACTTTTGCGTATAATAAACTATTAAGTAGAAGGGGAGATGGGGTGTGTGAAGAGGTACAGTATCACATAAAGAGGGAATGAAGATGGAAGAAAATCAAAACCAAGGCCAATGTAGCAGTAATATGATGAGGTGCTTCTCCTAAAGATTAAATTCTCACTTCAAAGATATATAAAAATGCATTTGTTAGCCAGTGTATTCAAATAGTAAATACAGGCATGGTTGGAGCTTAAGCACAGCAAGGGACTGAGATTGTGTTTGCCTGCTCCACATTCCCTAGAATCATAGAATAGTATAGTTGGAAGGAACCCAAGAGTCATCTAGTCCAACCCCCTGCAATGCAGGAAGCTCCTGCAGCCAATCGGAAGCTGTGGAAGTCCGGTCGGACGTTTGGCTTCAAAAAATAGTTCGCAAAACGGAACAGTCACTTCTGGGTTTGCGACGTTTGGGAGCCAAAACATTCGGGAACTAAGCTGTTCGACTTCCAAGGTACGACTGTACTGTAAAGCTAGGAAAAGGTTCTGAAAAGGTTACATCATTTAGGTCTTTTTTAGTTAGAAAAAAAGTGAATAAGTGGCGGACATGATAGAACTGTATACAATTATGCACGGTGTGGAGAAAGCTTTCTGCCCTCTCATATAATACTAGAATCCGTGGTCACCCAATGAAGCAGAATACTGGATGATTTAGGCCAGACACAAGGAAGTACTTCTTCATACAGCATGTAGTTAAACAATGGAATTCGCTACCATAAGATGCGGTGATGACCACCAACTTGGGTGGCTTTAAAAGGGGATTAGAAAATTCTTGGAGGATAACACTATCAGTGGTTACTAGCCAGGATGGCTGTAAACTCCCTCCAATATTGGAAGTGGCATACTTCTGAATGCTAGCTCATGAGGACTACAAGTGGTGAGAGTACTGTTGTGTTCATGTCCTGCTTGTGGGCTTCCCAAAAACATTTGGCTGGCCCCTATGAGAACAGGATGCTGGAATACATGGGTCTTGGTGTGATTCAGCAGGGCTCTTCTTATGTGACTGAATACTCTCCTGCACACAGAAAAATGAATATGTCAGAGAAAAGGATTGTAAGCCTAGCTTTCAAGCCATGTTGAATTTTTAAGTTAAGGTTTCTTTTTTAATCTAGAGGCATATTCAAGCACTTGAAGCAATCTACCTAAAGCTGAAACACTGCTGTTAAGTTTGGATTGAAAGTTTGAAGGTATTTTTATGTTAAAAATAATAATTTCATAAAAAGAGAACCAGTCCACTGAAGAACAGTGAACTCCACTTCCTACAAATCCCTGCAGAATTGAAACAAAACTACCAAAACTTTCTTTTTCTTCTACTACATTTTACTGCTATTGCAGGACAAAAGAAAACAAAGAGACAGGGACAGAGACAAGGATAACTGACTTAAAAGGGACAGCCAAGGATGAATCAGACACAGAGATTAAATCAGAGACAGTTTTCAGAATTAAACTTTTCAAGGCTTTTCATATATGTCCATATTTTGCCTAACTGTTCTTTCACTAATGACAGGCTAAAGGAGCCTTATCAGAAGTGACACATTTGTGGAATTCCCTCCTCAGGAAAGTTTGCCTGGTGCCAACACCGTTATCCTTGTTCTCCCAGGCTTTTAAATATATTTTGAGCTGCAGTCCTATTCATACTTACCTAAGACCCACCAGTGTCAATGAGGCTTTCTTCTAAGTAGATATGCATAGGATTGCACTATTCTCTAACATGCTATATTTTATCTTGTTTTGCAGAAAGGCTGTGGGTGTGTCTAAATTATTCCACCAAAGTTAGTGGGTACACCAAATAAAGACAAGTTTGGGCTTCTTTTTGAGAAGTTCCTCCACTTGTGCATGTCTCTCCAATGTCCATCATAATTTACTGAGTAATACTGTAGATCATTCCATTCAAACTCTGCTCACATACGAAATGGTTTAATGTAATAAAACTTACGAAATTTGCAAAGCTGAATTAATTTCCTTGAGCAGCTCTTGGGTCTTATTAAAATCTGCCAGCATGCTTTGTCTTTCTCTGATGTGGTCTGCTGTCATGACATCCAGCTCTTTCTCATGTTTCTTGTTTAAATCTTGTTCATGCAGCCTGTTTAATTTATTTTATGTTAAAAAAGGTTATTCTTACACCAGCTTTGTTCATCTTGACTTCCTGCCATGTTTGCAAAGGATTTGTGCATAGCATCACTGAAAAGAACTACAAAATCTAATTCTGCTATTTTTGTTTCTCTAATCGTCTAGCTTATTTCACTAAAAAGTCATCTCCTTTAATGCTTTGCAAATAAGCATGGTGAAATGTAAACAAAAATATACTTAAGGGCACTTTAATAAATATTAAATAGTAGCTTATGATTGTACCTTACCAATAGCTAATGTCCTCTAAACTCTGCAACTTGCAAATATTGTGGGCAGTCCAAAACTTAAATTTCACTGTTACTTCATCTGACATCAAATGGGCATATGAATCTAGCAATTTGAATCTGACTGCCTAAAATATTCTAGGTAAGTTTCAAAAAATCAAGTACGGCCCTTCATTAATTTTAGGTTGCCAAATCAATCAGAACATATTACCTGACATTGCAAATATCCATACCTAATTTGTTGGTTGGATTCACTACGTATTCTGAGAACCTCCTTCCCTTTAAATTCCAGTTCCTTGGTTAGTGCACTTATGTTTTCATGCAGAGCAAGAATCTCCTTATCCAGTTCAGATATATGGTGGTCTCGATGCCTCAATTCATCCTGTAGATCTGATATCCGGCAAACAAACTCCTTTTCCTATCAAGCAAGTATCAATAAGTTAAGAATACTTTATATAACATATTTTTATATGACGCACTTGCTTCTGGTTGAATAAACATAACTTACTTTCCCACTTTTATATTTCAAGTTACTAGATAAGAGTAAAGAATCAGATTAAATTTAGAAAGGCTACAAATGGCAACATATAAAGAACTATAGATAGGCATTTGTACCTCCCGCCCCTACTTTGCCATATTTCTTCTCCTCTGCAAAATATGGTGATCATGTTAGAGCTGAAGGGAGGGCTGAACCATCATTATGAAAAGTACTTATGGACTTAGAGACAGCTGTGCTTTTCTACACACACACAAATTTCCTGTAGGCTCAAGACTAGCACCTCTATGCTACCTTCTGCTACCAGAAATACTCTCCAGCAGCACAAGTGAAGTGCACATGTGCAATCTTCCCAGGAAGGTTTTGGGTGAGGTACTGAGGTTCATTCTGACCTTCCTGCTATTTTTCTGCAAGATTAGGTGGTCTCTGCCCACTGGTTCCCTTGAGCATTATTAACTGAAAACCAGGGGTGGATTTTCTAGATCAAACCTCGTTTGCAATGCATGGAAATTGCCATGGATCAGTTTTTCATACATGCACAATTCTGTTTTAGCTGTTTTGGAGGGAAACTACCTCCTATGGTTTCTCTCTTCCCATTTTTGCATTTCTGCAGACCTCTAGGTTCACTTGGGCAAGCTGATACCTCCCTCTTGTCCATAGTTGGTGCCATTTGCCTACATAAGCATCAGCACTTAGTCTATGAAGTTGGAATAGAAGAAATGATATTGACTGAAAGGAGCCAGTATACTAAACAGGTACTAAAGGAGTTGCAATTTTTCTTAACGGCGAACATATGCTCTGTGCCCATAATTAAAATATATTTACTCTCTTTTGGCTATGTGGAAGATATATACCTGGTGCCTGCTAAGCTCTATGCTTCTTTCAAGTTCCATTTTAGCAGCTGCTAGTTCTTGTTGATGATTATGTCTTAGTTGATCAATTGCTGCAGCATGCTGATGGTTTAGTTCTGAGCGCAAAGATGCTGGGAGATAATAAACAGATTTTTTTGTATAGTTCTACAAGTAGTAACCCAAACCACACATATGTATAACCATGCATTTATTGCTTTAGGGGAATGACTAGACACATAGTTTTTAACAAATTTGTTTTCCAGCTATGTCGCCTCCTTTAGCTGAAAAATGTTAAATTTTGTCATACAATCAATAAATAAATGAGTGAATAAATGGAAATGTTTATCAACGTAACAGTAATTATTATTATATATTAAAATTGTGCTGAATGCCAAATTAAGCATTAAAAACCTTGCAGAACTTTATTACTCTGCAGTGGACCTAGGGTAAGCAATGTGATATTTCATATTACAACTCCAGATACTTTATATTACAACTCCCATCAGCCTCAGCCAGCATTGCCAATGATCAGGGATGATGAGAGCTGCAGTCCACTTCATCTGTAGGGCACCATGTGGCTACTCTTGCCAAAGGTAATCTAAATACTTATTACATTCCTGGCACTCAAACTGCAGTATTTTGATGCTTGAAAACGTTAGCCATTGTGAGTTGCATGGAATGTGGTTACATAAGTGTTGCCTATAACATTCAGTGAGAGCAACTCAGTTTCTGCCTCATTTTGTGACCCTTTAAAGTTTTATTTCAGTTTTCAATTATTTATGTACTTTTTTAAAGGCTGTTTTTCTTTTTTCACAGATACACACCATTTTGTGACTCCCTGTGACCACTAAGCATGCTCAGTGGCTTTTTTTGCGTTTACAGGTTGCTCTCTTTTTGGTCCCCCCCCCAAATATTTTCTGTACTTCTGCAAATCTCAGGATTCCCGCATGCACGCTGCTACTTTCCTGCTGTTTCCCAGTGACCCAGTTTTGGCTCTATTTTTGTGAGCGCGGGGACAATGAGTTTGCTCTTTAAAAGGAATTATTAATGATTGATAGTGATATGAATAGGTGATATGCACAAATTTAACACTGAAGAAAAGGGCCTATTAATGAAAGACTGGGACAAAACAGGCAATATGAGGGATAGCACAAGACATCTGTCTGAAACAGATCATAGGAAGAGGTGTATTTCTCAAATTTGGCACAAGTTTCCATTTAAAAAAACCCCAACAACAGGAGCATTATCTTGAACAGGGGGTGATAAATAACAATACTGCACCAATAAAATGGGTAAATTGTGCTATAAAACTCTGAGTATCAACTACTTAGAGAATAGTCAGCTTTTCCTCAGAAAAAGTCTAAATGTAGTCCAACACACGGGAAACCACCCATTTTCATTTTTCTGTATATTGGGCAGCACATGCCATCTGCCTTCTGCACCAGAAGTAATAGCTTATGTTTTAAATAGTCACATGAAAATACTGTACCAAGCATAGCTTTCCCTTCATCTTCTAGTTCAAAGCGAAGAGTCTGCAGTTCCTGTTCCATTTCTAGTTTGAAAGCATCCATAGCTTGCCTGTGTGCTTCTTTCAGCGCATGAAGTTCTTCTAAGTGCTTCTGTTTTAAACGTTCCTCAAGTTCCTAGCAAATTTAAAGGAGAATTGCTCTATGTGTATAGAAAAATATTCTTATCAATGAGGCAAAATGATTGCTAAATAATAATAATAATAAAAAACCCCCACTGTTATTAACCAGCGACCTTTATTTTTTTGTAACTCCAATCCCACAACCTAGAGTGTAACCCCCTCACTTTTCCCTTTTCCCACTTTCTGGACAAAATGTGGGTTGTTAGGGCTTTGGTTGGGCCTAGAGGTAAGGCCTCAAGAGTAACTCATCCCTCTACACATCCCTCCCATTACAGTTCAAGAGAAGTTAGAACACACATGTGTAGTTTCCTCTATGCCTCTCCACCCCTGCCTTTCTCCCAGTACAATGTTTCTTTGGGTGCTTTCTGAGTTCTCAAATGAAGATAAAGAAGTTCTCTGGAGTAATATATCACAGTTCATGTTAACATACTGAAATCTGAAAATGTTAAGATGCTACAAAATACTGAATGAACATGCCTTTTGCTCTTCTTCTTTTGTTTCCTCCATGTTCTGAAATGCAAGGATATGTGCTTCTTTCAAGGACTTGTGTCTTTGTTGATGCTCTTCTTCTAGCTCTTCAATCTCTTGGGCCAGCCTCTGTCGCTCCTGGCTAAATTGTGCCTGAAGTTGCTGCATTGAAGTCTGAGACTGGGAAAGCTGCATTTCTAGATTCTGCTTCAACAGGGAGATCTAATTCACAGAAAAGCAAAGGCAACTAGAAATTCAAACTATAAACACTGTGTTTATTTTTACTGATAGATATTTGAGATTTTTTATTGTGGTCACAATACAGAGAAGTACAGAGATCCACAAGTGTGGTGTCCTGTCTCGCCAAATAGCAGCCCTCCCACACTGCATCAAGCAGTTTCTTATATGGTAGAGGAAAGCTGGTGGGCAGCGGAAAGACTACAGGTGTACTGTGTTCACAAATGTTCTTGCATTTTTCAACATTTCCTCTCTGTATTGGGGCCTATTTTGCTTAGTAACACATTCTGGTTAATAGAAATTTGAATATCCAACTGCATGCAAGTCAACTTCTGTTTGCACAACAGGATTTTCTCTTCCTTTCCCATCCAGCTCCTACTGTCCTCAAAATCTGCTCTATAAAGATGGGGGAACCTATAGAGCAGAACCTGGGTGCATGCACAATGGACTACAGGGGGGAGGAAAGGAAGGGGAAGTCCCATTGTGTGAGCAATTTTGTTGGGAAGTTGGCCAGACATCACTGGATGTCACCTACAGTATGCCTAATCAAGTATTACTATGAACTATAACTAATGAGCAAAGAAATACCACATAGTTTATGGCATGCAGATTAGCAATGTGTCATCACCAGCTGTTTGAATGTCAAGTGCAATACACTTTTACTGGATTGCAATCCTACAGCCAGCTGAAAGCCAGTTCAGTGGCCACAGAAAGTTAATTCAAGTGCTGCACCACTGGCAGAGAGTGTGTCCTAATGGTGGGATGGCGCTTAAGCCACTGGAGGACCTCAATACACCCACTGAAAAGTTCAAGGATATAGGTGTCCCACTGGTAGTAGGGGCCAAAGTGGGGCATTTTGGTGTGCATATCAGGAGCAGTCAAAGATCCATAGGATTTTAAGCCCCCTTGTTTCTCCAACACACCTTCAAAAATGGCATGAAACTTCATCAGCCCTGGGGGGTTATGGTGGAGTAATGTCCCTTCCATTGGAATAAACGGCAGAGGTGAGGAATGAAAAATCTGTCACCATCCCATTTCCTGGCCTGGTTGAAGTGAGCCAAAATGGGTATGTAACTGCAATCCTACACACACCTGGAAGTAAGCCCCATTCATCTCAATTGAACTTACTTGCATGTAGACATGCATAACAATGTGTTGAGAAATTACTTATCAATTAAAAAAGATTGTATTCCATCACCACAGTCAAGAGACTAAATATCAGTAATTTTTTTTGCCTAATATGTACTACCGAAATCAATGCTAATAATTCTACAGCACCTTCTAAAGAAAATTCATATCCTTTAACCCAGCTGTAATACATGCCATTATTATGAATTTATGGCATAGCTCATGCCTTCATAAATCAATCTAAAGGCCCACTGGCAGCCTTCAATTCAGTAGATGATTTCCTACACACCGATTAATAGGTAACATGGGTACTAGCAGGGTAGAGAGCAATGTACAAACCACACAGGCTACTCCTGGTCTGGACATTGCTTCTCACAGAGTGAGTTATGTAGCACCACCCAGGCCAAGTTCATCAGGCAATAAAAGAGAGTGCAACTTTAAATCCAGCTGGCACTCTTACTAGCAAAAAATGAAGCTACACTGCAGAGGCTTCTGAGGTATGACATCACTCTGCAAAGGTGCTACCAGGTCATTTTGATTTGAGAAACACCATTCCAAGACTGAACTCACATGAAACAACAGCGTGGACTGAAGGCCCTTTAAGATTAGTAGTGGGGCATATGGTTTTCCAGATTGATAAAGTTAACTGATAAAATCATTGCAGTCATTAGTATGCTCTGCATTAGTCTGCAGTGGCTCATAGTACAAACAAAACAAAACAAAACAAACAAAACAAACAAACAAAACACAAAAGAAAACAAATTGATTACTTATACCCCACCCATCTGGCTGGGTTTCCCCAGCCACTCTGGGTGGCTTCCAACAAGAGACTAAAAATACATTAAAACATCAGTCATTAAAAACTCCCCTAAACAGGGCTGCCTTCAGATGTCTTCTAAACGTTAGATAGTTGTTTATTTCTTTGACATCTGATGGAAGGGCTTTCCACAGGGCGGGTGCCACTACTGAGAAGGACCTCTGCCTGGTTCCCTGTAACTTTGCTTCTTGCAGTGAGGGAACCGCCACAAGGCCCTCGGCGCTGGACCTCAGTGTCCAGGCTGAACGATGGGGGTGGAGATGCTCCTTCAGGTATACAGGGCAGAGGCCATTTAGGGCTTTAAAGGTCAGCACCAACACTTTGAATTGTGCCCAGAAACGTACTGGGAGCCAATGCAGGTCTTTCAAGACCGGTGTTATGTGGTCTCGGTGGCCGCTCCCAGTCACTAGTCTAGCTGCTACATTCTGGATTAGTTGTAGTTTCCTGGTCACCTTCAAAGGTAGCCCCACGTAGAGAGTGTTGCAGTAGTCCAAGCGGGAGATAACTAGAGCATGTACCACTCTGGTGAGACAGTCCGTGGGCAGGTAGGGTCTCAGCCTGCGTACCAAATGGAGCTGGTAGACAGCTGTCCTGGACACAGAACCAACCGAGCCTCCATGGATAGCTGTGAGTCCAAAATGACTCCCAGACTGCACACCTGCTCCTTCAGGGGCATAGCTGCCCCATTCAGGACCAGGGAATCCTCCACACCCACCCGCCCCCTGTCCCCAAAAAACAGTACAAAAAAAAGTCAGTATAGTAAGGATAGTGGTATGTATGCAGCAATATTTAATATAAAGATTGAACTCACAAATTATAAGAGGATTTTAAATGAAGACACATTTACAGTGTGATACAGGTACTGGTCAGATTTTGTAAAAGCTAATATAAACACTACATATATAAACGAGCAAGCTGAAAGACCGCGGCAACAAATTCTAGTGCCTGCACTAAAATTAACTTGCAGTCATGATAAATTTTTAATTCAGAATTTCCCTTCCCCCATTCTTGGTTTTCTTTATGTATCTGTGGGAACTAGCAACCTTGAACAAAAGATTTAGGGCAGGAGCCCTGACAACAAAAGGGACTTGAGTAGCCTTTTAACTTTGCTACTACAAATTATTTAAGTACAGTGGTAGTAGCCTTTTAACTTTGCTACTACAAATTATTTAAGTACAGTGGTACTTCTGGTTACGAACTTAATTCGTTTTGGAGGTCCGTTCTTAACCTGAAACCATTCTTAACCTGAGGTACCACTTTAGCTCATCCTCATCCTAATGGGGCAAAGTTCTTAACCTGAGGTACTACTTCCAGGTTAGCGGAGTCTGTAACCCTAAGTGTTGGTAACCTGAGGTGTTTGTAGCCCAAGGTACCAACTGCACCATATTTCCTGATCACAAATGGCTGACATGTCCAACATTATGTACTTCAAGCAAAGAGAAAGTGATAAATGCAAAGAGAGAGATAATTTTTCCTGTATTAAAGTGGAAGGTTTTGTTATTTCATCAGAATTGGATGGGTCTTTCTGAACTTTTTGCGGGAATTCTTAGGAAAAAGCTTCAGTTTTCACTGACAACCTTACAAATCATGGAAAGACTCATTCTGGGGCAGGATGTCCACTCCTGGGTGGTCACTTATACACTGCCAAAAAGAGAGAGAATGCTTCTGTCTGCTCAGTCTGTTGTCTAGATGCTAACTGTTGATGGACAACTTCAAACCCACTATCTTTAAACTAGACTTGGACAAGATAGATTATATGTCTTCTGTAAAGTAGGACACATGACCACCCTATCTGCTTCAGAAGCTCCCAATTCTTCCTTTTGTATTTGGTACTGTGGGAGTCTACTTATCTTGCAACAGACATTATATGATGGTGGGTGGGCATGGTTTGGGCCAAACCATGCAGTGGGTCAAATGGTGATGCCTGTGGGCCAGAGGTTACACAAACCCTCCATTATCAGTGGGAACAGGACTCAGGAGTGAAAAGCAACAACAACAACAACAACACCAACACCACCACCACCACCACCACCAACCAACAACAACAACGCTACACTTGCCAATGTCAGCAATGCAGACTATGAGCATGCTCAGATATATTCATTTCAGAATAATGTTTAATTCTAGAAACTGCTGTTTTCCTTCCTGATTAATGAGTGAGTCAAGAGGGAGTCTGCACTTCCCAGATTACACATTGGCAAATAAAGCTTAGAAGCAGCCTTAGCTGATGTATCACATCCCTCTCCGGACACATGCTAAGTGGGAAAAATGGAAACTGGCAGATCAGAGAACTGGTGAGGAGCCCTTACAAGCTGACAAGGCAAAATTTGAAAGGGAATAGGCTTAACGTTTTCTGAACTGAGAGAGGTTCAAACACTCCCCAACCTTCCAAAATTCTTGTCCACCCTTAAACAGTACTTTTATCTACAGTAGTCCTACCCCTTCCTGTTGCTGTGTTCCACTCTACTTGCTACACATTATACAGGCCCTAAGCAAGAGTTCTACGCTTGACTTATATGTTCCTGCAGTGCAAGGTCTACAATTAAAGTTCCTCCTAAATCATTTCTCTTGGTTGTGATACCTAGTATATTCAGCTTCTGCTCACACATCACCGAACAGACTTGGACATTAGTCCAATTCTCTAAATAAAACCTGGAAGCAACATATTTCTTATATGAATTAAATTAATCATTACCAATTTTAACGTATCAAGGCAGATACTATGTAAAGAATATATGCTACTGGAAGTTCCATTAAAAGTAGCAAAATTAAGGACAAACTTTTACGTGTAATACATGCATGCGTGGAATATATTCTTTTATGCATATAAATCAACTTTTAAAACTTGCTATCCCATTTTGAAGTAGAAGAAAAGGATGATAAAAATCAGTTTGGTCACCTTAAATAAGTGGACTGGATTACTAGCTGCCTAGTGCTTAATATGAACAAGTTGTATATAAAGATTCTATTTTAAGCTTCCACATTTTAAAATCTTTTTCTTTTGCTTCTGTTCGTTATCTATGGTAATGTCTCATTTCCTATCCTTGCATTATATTATTGACACAATGACAACCAACCTACTAGAATCTGATAATAAATTATGAAAAAAGTGCCGTAACTGTGCAGAAAGCCCTATTAAAATTGCATAAAATGTTAATGTTTCCCCAGCACTGATCTTTTACATTCATATAACCATTCAGTGATGAGGTAGATTTCCAAGTTAACATACAGTAATAGAAATACAGTGGTACCCCGCAAGACGAACGCGTCGCAAGACGGAAAACCCGCTAGACGAAAGGGTTTTCCGTTTGCGAGTTGCTTCGCAAGACGATTTTCCCTATGGGCTTGCTTCGCAAGACGAAAGCCCATAGGGAAATCTCCGGGACAGCGGGGAAGCGCAGCGTGTCTTCCCCACTGTCCTCGGACCTCCTCCCGCCGCCCGCCATCGGAACGAAGCTCCGATGCCGGGCGGGGGGGCGGGAACGCGTTCTCCCGCCGCCCGCCATCAGAACGAAGCTCCGATGCCGGGCGGGGGGGCGGGAACGCGTTCTCCCGCCGCCCGCCATCGGAACGAATCTCTGATGCCGGGCGGGGGGGCGGGGACACCTCCTCCCGCGCCCGCCATCGGAACGAAGCTCCGATGCCGGGCGGGGGGGGGCGGGAACGCGTTCTCCCGCCGCCCGCCATCAGAACGAAGCTCCGATGCCGGGTGGGGGGGCGGGAACGCGTTCTCCCGCCGCCCGCCATCGGAACGAAGCTCCGATGCCGGGCGGGGGGGGGCGGGAACGCCTCCTCCCGCCGCCCGCCATCGGAACGAAGCTCCGATGCCGGCGGGGGGCAGGAACGCCTCCTCCCGCCGCCCGCCATCGGAACGAAGCTCCAATGCCGGGCGGGGGGCGGGAACGCGTTCTCCCGCCGCCCGCCATCGGAACGAAGCTCCGATGCCGGGCGGGGGGGCGGGGACACCTCCTCCCGCCACCCGCCATCGGAACGAAGCTCCGATGCCGGGCGGGGGACGGGAACGCGTTCTCCCGCCGCCCGCCATCGGAACGAAGCTCCGATGCCGGGCGGGGGGGCGGGGACACCTTCTGCCGCCACCCGGCTTCGGATGGCTTTCCTGAAGACTTGGGGTGGGAGGAGGGTTTTCCTTCCCACCGCCAACATTCAGAATGCTGTTCTGAATGTTGGCGGTGGGGAGGAAAAACCCTCCTCCCACGCAAGCCCCGGGAACAGAGGGAAAGCGCTGCGCGCCTTCCCCTCTGTTCCCGTTCCTGTCCTGAAGGCTTGCGGTGGGGAGAAAAGCCCTTCTCCGCACCGCCAGCCTGGCAAGCGGTTTCCCTAGGAACGCATTAATTGATTTTCAATGCATTCCTATGGGAAACCGTGCTTCGCAAGACGAAAAACTCGCAAGAAGAATAAACTTGCGGAACGAATTAATTTCGTCTTGCGAGGCACCACTGTAATCCAATTATGTTAATCAGCATAAATATCCTTTTTGCTCTTCTTTTATCTTCCCATTTGGACAAGAACAAATTTTAAGTTTTTGTCAAAATGTATTTGAGTTAAACAGTTTATTTCTTAAGAAATAATGTTAAATAAATATTATTTTTATTATTAACCACCGCTGCAATCCAAACAGTGCCAAGAGTAGGCAGTGGAGAAACATGCATACAGCCTGTTTTCTTAAAGTTTCTATTGCAGCTGATTCTCCAACTGTGTGACTGTCATTACTGTAACTCCCCCCCCTAAGTTTAACCTAACCTTTTCCATAAGTGAGGCAGGAAGGGTGAGACAGGAAGAAATAGAAAGCCTTGCCTAGCAGGCAGTGGCACTAGCAGCAGAGCCAGTCAGTGGAAGCAAATGGCAGGCCCAGGGGGTGCCATGTTGGTGTCTGCTTGTGCCTGTTGCCTGAGACAATTGCCTCAGTTTCCCTAATTGGAGTTTGCTATGATTGGAATCTTATCCAATGATGAATCTTATCCTGAATCTTAACCAAGCTCACAACCATTGGGCCATTAATGGTGCAGAGATCTCCCAGCTCAGGAATGTTATCCAGCAGAAGTGCTTTCCCACTGACAGAGATGACTCTATACGAATGGGATGATGCTTCTGTTGACAGAACTCCCTTGGATTAGTGTGGAGGTTTCTGCTAGCGGAAGGGCTTTGCCAGCAAAGATCCTCTGGTGCAGCACGAAAAAATGGGGAAAGGGTAAAAAATGGTCATGTCATGGATACAACACATCCTAAAGTGTATCAGCTCACCTTCTCAACCAATTGCAAGGGTCAGCATGGAGAGAGAAGGGGGGGGAGTCCTGTTGTGCGAATGCAAGTCCTTGTGGAAGGCTTCTGCTGACAGGACTCATTAGTTGAATCCCACCTATAGGATTGTGATGTAAGTAAATGGGTACCTGCTTGGGAATAAACACCATTGAACTCAATGAGATTTATTTCTGAGCAGATATCCGCGCTGTAAAATACTATTTTAGTAGCAACTCTATGAAGCCTGTAACTAAAATGACACCCTGTACCTGCAAACTATGTTAGTCATTCTAGGAAAAGCTCTGCCTACAAACTTTTTTTAAAAATCATAAATTCATTGCCACAGGGCAGGGATGGTGAACATGCTGCGGCCCACCCTAACAATTAGCCATACTGCCTTGTTCGGCTAAAGGGAGATAAGAGTCCATCAGTAACTGAAGAGTTGTACATTTCTCATCCCTGCCGCAGGGGATCTTCAACTGTTTTGATTATCCTAAAGACCAAAGTCAATATTCCAGGGAGTTTTCCTAAACATTATGTTTAAATGTCAGCTAGGATCCAAACAGCCTTAAATGAAGTGAAAGGAACTTCCATATGCAAAAAGGGGAACAACTGATTTATTCCTAGCTGCATCACAGCCCACTGCATTACACATCTCTCTGAAAGGTCTCCTGACCATCGCAAGTGGCTTTTCAGCCATGTATGTGTGTGAAGTAAGTAAAGTAAGTGAAAGACAGAGAAGCTACATCATGTGTGTACGTAGTGCATAAACTTAATAGCGTATGACCTTCTGGTGACCATTTAGATCCCACTCATTGATTTTTAAATCTTTGTAGAAATAACAGAATGAAATATAGTAGCCAAACCATAACTGAGTTGCATTATTTATATTAAATTGTAACACGGTACCACACATTTCCATGCTTTAGAAAAAGCTTTATAATGTGCAAATGTACTGCCTGCAAGCTTGCTTTTACATCACATAAAATGACTGTGTGATGTTTAATGTCAAATGATATTAACACATACACATACGAATGAATGAATGCAGCGCAGAGCTTTTTATGAAATTAATGTGTAAACTCTTCCCTTGAACAACATTTTTTTATTGATTTCAAAGGCTAATGCTCTGAAGCAGCACTGGCCAGTATGCAAGCTGAGAAGTGCAAGCATGCCCTCATGTACATATTGTAAGTGCAACTCACTTACATTGCTGATAGATTTATGCAAAGCTTCACCGAGACAGTGCCGCTATGAAGGAAAGATCACAGGAATAAAGGGAAATATTCAGAAATAACTAAGAAGATGGAATAAAGAAGGGACAGTAAAACACAGAACATTATATTAATTTAAGAAGGAAAAATATGTTGAAAATTGATTGGGCGAAACTGACACAGAACATTTTTGCTATGGCTTGTTATGGAAATCCACTGAACACATGAAAATCACATAAATACAATTTGTGGTCCCATTTTATAAGAGTTAAATATTGGGAGGAAATTTGTGTATGCTGAAGGATTTTATCATGCTCCTGTGTTAAATATTTTTTCCTTTGATCCAAATTGACACATCTACTTCAGTAAATATACTCTGGAAGAATGGCCAAGTATCTGTTGCATTTCACTATTAATATTTGTTAACAAAAGCCCTTCAAACATTTTAAACAAATGTTCAGTTATATTTTGACATACATTTTGCCATCGTTTTAAACAAGGTGGCAACATGATTAAACATCAACATCTATTTTATTGCCAAACTCAAACCAATCTGTAAATAATTTGGAACACAACTGAAACTTTTTTTTAAGATTTAGATATGGATGTTCTTTAAAATATGTATTTTAAATTGCCAATCCATAGCAAAATTACATTCTACATATAATACTATAATGTCATTTAATAGGGGTGTGCACTGGCTGCAATTGTCAATTTGTATCTGTCTTTGGGAAGCAGTCCAATTGTTTCAGAACCATTCTGTGTCTTTCCAACTTGACATTATTGGAGATTGAATAATGAAAATTATTTGATCTATTGAAAATTAATCTATTGAAAACTATTGAAAATTAAGTTTTCTTTTCCCCTATCCACTATAATCGGGAAACTAAAACAGCTATAACTTTTTTCACAGAAGTGGATGAAATGTGCCGGCATAGGAATCCCTCTTTAGTGGATTAAGCCTTCATAATTGTAAGCAGATACAACTAGGGAACTTTGTGTGTGGCTCCTTTACAAATTGATTTTCTTAAAAACAAATCTTTTTTTCATGTTATGACATAATTAGATTCAGTTTGTACCTTCAGAGAGGACGAAGGCTGCAAAATTTCAGAATGATACATGTAATAGTTCTCCTACAAGTGCAGATGTTACTATTTCAGAGTGAGTACTATGAGACTCTTGGAAAGCAGCAACAATGATGTAAAAATAGCATAGATTCCCAAGAAATGACCCTTGTTACTCCAAGGTCATTGATAGGGTGGGCTTCTGCCTCTCCCCACGGATTTTTGGGGCTACAAAAGAGACCTCTTCATTGACTTGTTTTGTGAAAAACAAGCAGTTTTTAATATCTCACACATCACTGTGATTGGAGTACCCTGGGAAATTATTCACACTGATTCATGGAAGACCTGTCCATCAAAATGAAACATCTCCCCCACCTCTCTATCCACTCCCCTCTCAAGCTCTCAGCATTTCCCCAGTCAGTTTGTTTTGGTTTTTAAGGGCAGGGTGGGGGTGGAAAGTAGAGGCCACGGAGTAACAGAAGCTTTAGGAGTCTGTGATCCACCTCAAGATGCCTTGTTTATAGTACAAACTGTAACCTTCCCTGTTTCACATTCAGGGTACACAGAGCCGATGCACACCCCTATCATTTACTAACAAGCTGAAGATGTACTGTCAGCATGTATAAGTGGTACATCACCATATACATCAGATGCAACATATATATGATCAATACAATTTTTAAAATTGAATGATGGGTAATTTCATTTCTGGATACATGATTTATGATTCAGACACCAGTTATTTCAGATTAGTGCGAAGCAAAAAACAAAAAGAACTAAGCTATACTAATTGCCAGATCTAGGAAACTGCAAGGCTACATTCATGGCTAAGCCAGCTTGATGTAGTAAGATTCCAAACTCTGAACTACTCCACTGAAAAGCGGGTCCTACACTCTTTGCTTGCTTAGATTGGATGTCAGATACATCTTTTAAACCTGAAATTTGGGACATTATGCTTGTTTACTTTGGATTTTATTTGATTTAATGCTAGGAAATTGTTATCCACATAGAGCAGACCCACTGAAATTAATGCAGTTAAGTTAGCAATGCCCACTGATGTGTCTACTTTGAGTATGACTTAATTGTAGTCAAACTAGTATTTGTTGAGAAAGTCCTGGATGTGATCCTGAATTGTTGTTTGCTGTGTGTGTGTGTGTGTGTGTGTGTGTACATACTAACAGTCAGGATCACCTACATTCTCTATCAGAGCTACCTCATAGTCTAAAATACTTTTCAGCCCTATTTCTTTTCCCTTAATGGGGAAAGCAAAGATATTATTTTGTGTCCTCAAGCCAGCGATACTTAGCTCTATCTCTAATTTCCAAATAATGTCCACGAGACTACATTCTGAACCATTATCTCAATACAATGAAGGCCTGGTTGGGGATTGTGTAGAACCAAAAGGTGCAAATGTCCCGGAAGGCCTGTAAATGCTATCTTGGTAGTCAAGATAACCCCAGGACTAATTGGTGTGAGCTGTAACATGAGATCACACATGTTTATCTGCTTGTTTGAAGCCTTCTTTGGAATAGAGGAGGCTTCTCATGCTGCTTGCTTGTCAGTTGCTTGCTTATCTAAGAGATGGATAAGAGCTGGGAAGGGGCCCGTAAGCCAGGAGTGAGTTAACTGGACCATTGTTGCCTGCTTAATACCTTGCTTTTTGTATAAGTAAACCATATATGATTAGCACTTCATGGACAAAGCCAAAGTGGCGCTTGCCACTTCAGCAGCAAGGAATCCTGCATTACATTGCAGTATGTGAGTATCTTGCTATACTTGTAATATAAAATACTACAACTGATCACTATGGAGATTTGTGCATCTTTCTTTGGAATCCCTGCAACTGGGTCCATTGGGCCATCATTCAATTAATCACCCTGGTCTGTATTTGGACCCACAGGACAGAACAGGGACTAACAAATTAATTTCGGACAAGAGAGAGGTGCTGTTGGTCAGCAGACAATCTAATTTAGGACTGTGAGTACAGCCTGTTCTAGATGGGATTGCACTCAATTTGAAGGATAGGCTTTGCTTTTTGGCAGTGCTTCTGGATCCAGCATAGCTCCTTGATGCCAAAGCAGCTGCTGTTTCCAGGAATGCTTTTGCCCAGTTTTGGCTGGTGTGTCAACCCTTTTCTGGAGAAGGCAGCTCCGATATGTCACCTTCAAGCTAGATTTTTGCAACATACTCTAAATGGGGCTGTTGCCTTTTAAGTGTGTTCAGAAACTGTAGCTGGTACACAATGCAGCAATCAGATTGCTTTCTTGTGTATGTTTCTAAGACCATATGACACCAACCTTGTTTTGGTGTTTCCAGGCCCAACTTAAGGTCCTGGTGGTTACCTATAAAGCCAACAGCTTATGAGAGGGGATCTGAAAGACGGCCTCCTCCAATATGAACCAATCCAGAGGCAGAAATCATTTTCTGAAACCCTTTTGTATGGCCCACCAAAAGAGATCCAATTGGTGAGGATGCTAGATAGGGTGTTTTCTGTACCAGCACCTCAGTTTATGAAACTCACTTCCTAGAGACATTAGACTGGCCTCATCCCTGTTCAATTTTAAACATTTTAATTTTGTTTGGCTTTTAGTGTTTTTTAAGTTGATATTTTGTTTTAATGTGTTAAACTGTATTTTCTTTTCTTGAAAACTTGCTTGGTGGCCCATGTTATAGCCAAAAGGTGATACAAAAACATTTTAATAAACAAACAGTGAAATTTTATGGCTCTCTACTTACAAGTTAGTCCCAATGAGTTCAATGGGACCTACTCTCAGACAAGCTGATCCTAGGATTTAAGGATTAGACCATATTCTGTTTACCACATTTCTAAAATACACCTATAAATGTACTTTTTCCTGAACACATCAAAATCCATAGCTTATTGTATTTAATTTGTGTGTGTTTCCTGAATGCATTGTTTGGGATTTAAACCCATGTTCCATCCGTTCACTGCTGATGGCTGCAATGATGCTTTTTAGTTCTGTTGCAGAACAGGAATATTTGGTAAAGTTAACTCACTACTTTCAGGAGGGGACATCATTAATTTGAAACCCATCAAAGATATGATGCAATAAAAAAATCTTCCAGTATCCATTAATGGAAGACATATGCGTTCCAGTGGAAACTATGCTGAAATTATTGTTTCCTTCCTGTGACACCCATCCCTATGCTTTGTCTGCTGCATAATTTTTACACGTCTCAAACTGTCCATCCTTAAATAAGTCTTTGTCTTTGTATACAGCCTATCACAAATTTATTTGATTTCTGCAGGTAACATTTGTAGAACATATGAAGGTCCTATGAAGAATTTCCATACATAAAACCAGGTGGCTTCCAATGTGAACAGATATTTCAGCAACAAACAAGAAACTTATTACTGGATAGTCTTCAGTACCTACATTTTTGCTTTTTGCAAAATGTGCATGGTTCAGATGGCTGTTGTGGATTTAGCTCCTCTCCTTTGTATATTGTGTGCTGTTGGGCTGCACTGGGCATGGATGCTTAATAAGTTTATGTTTTTCATTTTGGATTTTATTGTTATGCATCAGGCTCTGAGTAGCACGAGCTTTTGAGGGAGAGGGATATAAACAAACTGGTGAATAAAAACATTTTTTTCCAATATTTTAAGCTGGAGTCCTCTCAGATGTGAATCATACAGTTAAAAGTCTGTCCTTCAGGTCCACAGTTGTACATTGGAGAGAACAGATACCATGGCTTAGCCCTTACAGATTTCCCAATTCACTGCTAATCAAAGCATATTCATATATTTCATATAATTCTGTAACAGACACAATGGCCACCGACTTCAGCATATGATTTCCCTCCTTAATCATCCAACTAGCTCTACAACAATTTATCCCTTTTCAGATGTAATTTCACAACAGTAATAAAACATGCTAGTAATCATTCCAGTTACCTGATCCAAAAGATCTTCAACTTTCTTCTGCCAGCTATCTCTGGCAGCATTTTTCTCTCTCTCTTTTAGCTGCAGAAGTTGAGTCATTGCTGACTTTTTATCCTCCTCATGCTGAAGCCTTAACTCTTCTCGAAGTTTGGTACATTCCTGCCTAAGAAGAAGAAGCAGAACTAAAACTTGCTGGCCTTTAATAACACTATAAAAATATTATTGAAATGCAAGTTTGGTCACATAACTGCATTTAATACATGCTTTGTTGTAAAAGGGGAAAAAAATAAAAATAAAAAGGGCACTTGCCGAAGATTCTCTGTCCATTTTATTTCTAGATCACGGGCCATTCTGTCAACTTTGAATTTTTCCTCTTCCCTCATAGCTACAATCATTACTTCATGCTGCTGTCTTTCCTGGTCTAGTTCCCCCTAGGAACACAAAATTCAAAACATAGATAAGCAGCAACAAAATGATTTCGTGACAATATTTTGCTCGGAAGCAATGTTAGTGCCCTTACTGAATGCTCAAGCAGTACTAGTGATTTTTTGAACTGACTGCTCCAGAATATGTTTTAGTTTGTATATTTTTATGCAATTAATTTAATGACACCTTAAAAATTAGTATTTTGATAATATTTTAATCGTTTGAATTGAGTTGCTTGTTCCTATTAACTATTCATTAAAAAAACAAGGATTTTCAAGTTCATCAGTGTTATGTAGATAAAACAGATCCTGACTCAAGGATCCATGGTAACTTTTAGGTACATGCAAAGGAAGCTTGATACGTGCATAAGAACATAAGAGCCCTGCTGAATCAGACCAATGGTCTATTAGTTCAGCAACCTATTTTCCACAGATGTCCTCTGGATGCTTCTCAGAAGCTCACGAGTAGGAAATGAAGGATACAGTCTTCTCTTGTTGCTTCCAGCAGCCGGCATTCAATGACATGCCAGCTCTGAATCTGAGGTTAGAGCCATAATGACTAGACTCATTCCCCATGAATTTGTCAAATTTCCTTTTAAACCCATCTAGTTTAGAGGACAGTAGCACATCTGAGTGATGATAAATATATGGGGTTACAGTAGACACTAGAGTAAATAGGAAAGCTTCTCTCTGTGTGTAAGGAGAGGGAGCTTCAGATGTGTAAAGCAGTTGCCATGAATCAGAGTGATGGAGCTGGTGTATCCTGCAGTTACCTGAACATTATACAGAGAATCAGTGGTCTCCCTCAGTCTTGCCCTGGTTAACTCCAGTTCTTTTTGTAGTATTTCCTGGGTTTCCTGGAGATTGGAGATGTGCCCTTCTGCAGTACCAAGGCCCTGTTCACTTTTTCTTACTAGATCTTGTAATCGACCCATCTACAAAAAGGAGAGAAAGAAGTATTGATAGTTTAACAATTTCAGATTATGAACTTGTGTATGCTGAATAGTATAGTATTCGGTATACAGTTAACTGAGCATGACATACTTTTGTGCATATTTCCCCCTATTTAAATATAACCTTCATACAGACAAAGCCAACCCCACTCATAATTTTACTATTCACTACTATTAAAAAACAAACATACACTAAACATTTCAAACAAACACAAGTATCACAATTTCCTAAGATTTAGTCTTTTAAAAAACAGGTTACAAAATACAATATTATAGATAAGAGAGGGCTGCCAAGAGCTACTGTAATTTCAAACATGGTTGGCAATTGAAAAGATATATCCCCTATATGCTGAAGCTTTATCCATTATGCACACCAGCATTCTGCAAGAATGTAGACAGCACTGCATCCAAGCACACACAACTTGCTGTTTGAAGTCTCATGGCCTTCACCCCATCAATATCTGGTAAGGAGACAAGCTTGAGTTTATGAGACTATACCTGTATTTTGAAACATTTGCTGAAGGATTATACCAGTCAGGAGTTGCCAACCTTATTATTAAAGGTTTCTGCAACAGGATTTTGTGGAAGGCAATTCTTTTATAACTTTACTTTTACAAGGATTATCTCAAATAGAACTTCAGACATTTTTAACACTACATAGTGGAGCTTTGTTATATACACTAACGGTATATAACAGCTGCCTGCAACTGGGAATGCATGAAGAAGATGCAATACAGATTACTTCCAATTATATCCGCATGAGATAGACTAGTATACATATTTTGGTTAATATTCTCTTTTTTGTATTTGTTTGCTTATGCATAAAAATCACCCTAAATTAAGCTTTCGATTCAGAACTACTGACAGTATCAATGAGGCTGAATGTGAGGAAAATGCAAATCAATAGTGTGAATAAGGAAAAATTATCCTTTGGTTTCAAGTTTAAAAACCAATAAACCGTGAAGTACATGTCTCCCTTAAGAATCTTCAAAGCAATAGTGAACCTAGTACACAATCTCCTCCTAGAGAATGAGTAAGTAACGTGCCCCTTTCTGAGGCAGAACTACTCATATTTTGCCTGACTTGGAAGCTCTATATACCCATATCCCTTCATCCAGCGGCCTCATATACTCATCAATGTTCTTGAACATAGGAGGAATTTAATTAAACTTGAACTTTTACGCATTGTATTTTGAAAACTATTTTGGTAAAGCTGTATTATTGTTTGTTACACAAGTAATCAACACCACCCTTTGAAAAGAGATGACTCATCTACAGTTATTTGCCTTCCACTCTGTATATATAATTTGCATATTCACTTCTCCACCAGACTGTCCACCAGTCACCACTCCAACTTCAGATTCTATTTTCTAAGAAAAGTTGTTGAATAGGTGGACAGTCTGCAGACTCAGACATACACAGATACTGTCAGCTACATATAAACCTTCTTGCCTGGCTTTTTACCTGGGTATGCAGCATGACTGAAATTGCAGCTGTGACTGAGAATCTCTGCCTAGATGTTGAAAAGGGAAATAGCATCCTTTTGATTCTTTGGCAACCTTTGATAAAATGTATAATTTGGACCAAGAATTGAGACTGGATATTTACAATTCAAAGGAATACAAAATCTCCCTAGGCATGTACAAGTCCTTGGACCTTGATCTTGGCATCATTGTGAGCATCTGGAAGATTTCTCCCAAGTGACTATACTTAGACATACATTCATCACCTCTCCCTTAGAGGTTTTATTCACAGCAAAGCAATACAGTGGACGCTCGGGTTGTGAACGTGATCCGTGCGGGATGCACATTCACAACCTGCAGAGTTCGCAACCCGCATCTGCGCATGCATGGGTTGCGATTCGGTGCTTCTGCGCATGCGCAAAGTGCGCTTTAGCACTTCTGCACATGCGCAACCGCCGAAACCTGGAAGTAACCCGTTCCGGTACTTCCGGGTTTTTGCAGTCCACAACCTGAAAAAAGGAACCTGAAACGTCTGTAACCCGAGGTATGACTGTATGTAAATGTTGTTAAATATATATATAAATAAATTCTCCTGGGGATCCTGCCTTTGGTGACCTATGGGATCCTATTTTACTCCCTTCTTGTTCAGTGCAAATGTGGGGCCACTTTGTTCTGCAACAGTTTAGACGCTAAGAGCAGAATCTTATAAATGTCTACTCACAAGTTAAATAAATAGGATTTATAGTAGATGTGTAGAGGATTGCAGCAATAAGTAAGCAGTTTTTATTCTCAGCAGTCCCTAATCCATTTATAAGCTATTTATTAGTGTTTGTATGAAATAATGAATAATTTAATGAAATAGTTTTAAAATGACAAATTGGCTTAATTGGCTTTTTCTGGATACTGAACCATTTCTGTGACAACTTATAAGCGACATTATTATCTGTAAAGCTGACATTTTAAAAATGTTAGATTGTAACTCTGAAGCTGAGCATATAATTAATTTTTTATGAGAAGGATCAATAGTTCAATAACAGTATTTTTAAAAGAGCATCTTAAGAATGCAATAAACATTAGATTTTCCTGTTACCAACCAATACACCATCTCTATCAAGTTGTTTAAAATAAAAAGCCTCTCCAGGACTGCAAAATAGCATATTAAAAACGAATGTACAAATGAAATTACAAATAAGAAATATTTAACAGAATGTTGCTCACAAGAAATATGGTCCTCAGACTGAAACAGGTTCTCCGCCCTGGTATATTGTATGAATGCCTTTGTTTGTATAAAAAAAGAAGTTATAATGCAGACATTCCCAAACTGCTGACCTTCAGTTGTTGTTGACTACAACTCCCAACATCCCTTACCACTGGGCATGCTGGTTGGGGTTTGTGGGAGTTGTGAGTCCAACACTGGAGGGTCCCAGATTGGGGAATGCTGCTGTCATGGGTAAGATACTGAACTTGGGCCAAGAAATCCAGGTTCAAATCCCCACAGCCACTTAGTGGTGGTCTTAGGATATTCAGGACACTAACTATCTAAATCTATACTACATTGTAGGGTTACTTTGAATGTAAAATGAGGAGAATCTATGTAAATTAACCTGAGCTCTTTAGAAGAAGGTTGAAGTATATATGCAACTACTAAGCAAAGCATTTGTATTTTTAAGAAAAAAACATTGGGGGAAATACAATTACTGTACATGGGAAGTTAAGAATTATTGCTGGAGTTGAGCAAGGTCAATGTAGCAAATTCTGTTTTCAACAGTGGCCACCAGATGCCTCTGGCTTTTTACAAGTAGGGCATGGAGATATTCTCCTCCCTGTTTGTCCCTAGTATTTGATATTCAGGTGTATGCTGCCTTTGAATATGGAGATTTCATGTTTAGCTACCCATGGCTGTTGCCACTAATATAGCTATCCTTAATAAATGTGATTAAAGCAGTCTAGTGGTCATTACCAAGTCATGACAGAAAATTCTAGCATTATCAGAGAAGAGAACAACCTTCCTTTTCTCTACACCATTCATAAAAGTCATGAATATAAGAACTATATTTTTAAAAATATATTTAAAAAGCAAAATAGAGAAAAAAGCAAAATCTTAAACGTACAGCTCTAAAACACTGACTAAAGAAAATATCAGTATTGGTTAAAAGTGGTCTAATGCACATGACAGTTAGCTGATATGACTAAGCTGATTCTTGCCTCCTGATTGGATGAAGTCAACTTGGTTGTCAGTTCTTCCCTCAGGTTTTCCAACTGCTGTCGAAGCTGATTCTTCTCGTCTTCAAAATGTATCTTCTCTTTTTCAAAGTGCTGCTCCAACTCCTTAAGAAAACGAAAAACAATAGAAATGCCTGTTTAGGTTCATTGCATACTAAAGCAGGACTCATATTCATCTGTTTTTCTAATGCTCATGGTTGGTCTATGTATTACTTATAAGACAAACAGAGAGACCTGCTGTTGACACAAATAATATTTAATAAAAGTGCTGGAAATGTTTCTCCTTTTCCCCATTCTAATAAGTCCAACATGCAGAAGAGACAGAATATTAGTAAATTTGTAACAACATCTGGACAAGTCCAAAATCAGGGTAATTCTAAACAAACAAAGGTTTGAGCCAAATATGCCATTCCATAGATGAGAGTTTTAGAAACTTCTAGTCTAATAAAAATATTTAATTTCAAGATGTTATTTTGTAGTGAAACTACACAAACACAAGGATAAAAAATGTAAAAATGTAAGATGTCAGCTGAGGGCTTTCATGAAAGTACTGGGACTGTCAGTTTAATATTAACCTGGCCTGTTGAAAACAATGAATCAAAAACAATTACTCCCAACAGTACATGCCCCCATCTCTCTCAAAAAAAGTATGGGACATCCTTCGCTAGGAAACAAATAATTAAAAAAACTAGCAAAGTTGCTACAAGGGAATTTGAGACTATTCTTGCAACCTTTAAAGAAAGAGTGGACAGCCTCTAGCCCATGGGTTGGTCTTGGCCCATCACAGAGTACAATTTGGCCTGTGAGGCCATATCCTGAAAGCAACATCCACCTGCCCATTAGATGACATCACTGATGACATCAGCTGATGGGTCGGAGGACAGGGTTTTAAATCCTGCAGCGGCTGCATGTTCTGTTGCTCAAGCAGAATTCCATGCACAGGGTTTCTGCTGATGACAATTGTTAGGTTAATCCTGGCCATTTCTCTTTACTGTATGGTATTCTAGGTCTATTCTAGCAGTTCAAAAGCACGTCAAAGTGCAAGTAGATAAATAGGTACCGCTCCGGCAGGAAGGTAAATGGCATTTCTGTACGCTGCTCTGGTTCGCCAGAAGTGGCTTAAGTCATGCTGGCCACATGACCCGGAAGCTGTACGCCAGCTCCCTCGGCCAGTAAAGCGAGATGAGCGCCGCAATCCCAGAGTCGTCCCCGACTGGACCTAACGCTCAGGGGTCCCTTTACCTTTACCTATTCTAGGTCTAGTATGGAGATATACCAGGCATAGGCAAACTTGGCCCTCCAAATGTTTTGGGACTACAACTCCCATCATCCCTAGCTAACAGGACCAGTGGTCAGGGATGATAGGAGTTGTAGTCCCAAAATATCTGGAGGGCCAGGTTTGCCTATGCCTGAGATATACACACAGAAGGCTGCCTCCATGTATACACTGCCCCCAATAGGTCCTCACCTATTACCTCAAAATGCATTTTATATACTTATTTTCTTTAAAGTGTATAAACACTCAAAGCAGCTTACATGAACATCACAGTTTAAACCAGCTCATAGTGGTAATTCAAAGAAATGAATGGATGTATATGATGCACACATTCTAACCTTACTGACACTTACCTGTGGTCAGAAGGACAGACACAAGTAAGCCCAAAGTAACCTAGGGAGCTGCACTGAGTCAGGCTGGGGTCCACAATGTCAACAATTACTGGCAGTGGCTCTCCAGGTTATCAGGCAGGGCTCTCTCCTAGCCTTACCTAGAAATGCTGGGAGGTGAACCTGGATCTTCTGCATGCAAAGTACAGAGCTATGTCCCTTCCCCTCCCACCAGTGTTTGTATAACATACAAAACTGAATCAAGTAACTGATTCCTAATGGGTAGACCAGATACATATACTATATATGAACAAGAATCTGATAATTTGCAACTAGCAGAATGTGTTCAGAAGGGAATGTTCAGAAGTTTTTGAATATTCCTAATCTTTAACTCTACATGCCCTTTCTATTGTTTTCTGCTAATTTACCTGTCATATCAATCAATGAAAGAGATACAAAAGAGACCTAGAAGTCTCTAAACAGTGTTGTAAAAGACTGAGAAAGCAAATTCTTATCTTCTTACCTGCCTATTATTAGCCAATGAGAAATTGGAGAGAAATGCTGCCCATTTTTTAGATAAGATATTAATATGAAATCTCTTTTGCCTAAAATAATTTATGTAGCTGAAAAATTTGCTACATGCTTCCTCTTGCTTTTACTGGAAAATATCTGGAACTAAGGTACTTGATTTTTTAATTCAAAATCTTTTTCATACAGAAACTAAGAACAGTCCTCACATTATAGTTCTCTTACCATTTGCAGTTTCTTTTTCTCCTTGTTAGCAGTGCTATGTGCTGCCTCAAGAGCAGTATGATGTTTCCATGCCAACTCCTCCAAGGTCTTAGAATGAGCCTCATTTAATTGTGCAGCCTCCCCTTCCAGCCTGGCTTGCAGTTTTATCAGCTCCTTCTCATAATATTCTCGTTGTGTTTCCCTTGCTTCATTCACTTTCTGTTAATTCAAACAAACAAACTTGAACTCATGACATCATCCATTTTTTCCACTGTAATCATTGTCCCCGCCTATGACCTTCAATTCTGCAACTCTACCACCATTCTCTGTCTCATACAAGACTCCACCCATATTCTCTTGGCAGCTGAAAACTCCACCTTTGCTGTAGTACTGGAAGTGTCTCAGGGACAGTGGGCCTAGAAATAAAGCATTCTGGGTGAGGCCTCAACACCCCTCTCATAAAGACCAAAGAGGTAAGTCGGCCTTGGAGCAGACATGTTTCCCTGTCCCATTAGTGTTAATAGAAAATGTTTTTAAAAGGATAAACTGAGGGAGAGGGTACAGAAAATATCCCCTCCCTCAAATTCCCAGTGTTCTGTGGCCAGCGTAAAGCAGTAGGACTTAGGAATTGGCTCCTCCACCACAATATTTCCTGCTCCCGCCCTCCACTTTAGGACTGTTGAATCGGAAGTTGTTCTTTTTGAAAAAGCATTACTTCTTTTACCTTCTCCAGTGCAAGAATTTGTTGCCTTTGTCTTTCATCCAGGCTCTGTGTTTTGCTTTGTAATAGATTTCTTTCATCTTCTAGCTGGGACAGTTTCTCCTTTAATCTAGATTTTTCTGATTCCAAATCCCTTATTGTAACTTCCTGGGTCATTTGTGTTGCTTGAAGCATTCCAATATGACCTATAAGAAGTATGAATTTAGAATCAGAGACACATCCAACCACAATTGTGTTAGAATGGCATCGACCATAGGCTGGGTTTAGATTATCCTATCTTGGTTTAAGAAGCACGAGTCTTTTGTTCACATGCTCTGTACCTGCACTGCTGCTTCCCTGTTCCTTTTGGTGTTGTGTTGTGTTGTGTTGTGGTAATTCAGAAAGTTTCCCATTATGTCTGATCTGGGAAAATATAGTTACCAGGTTCAGAACAAGCCAGGATCCTAAAACCAAGGTTTGAAGTCGGCTTAATGTCCTTACCAAAGCTGGTAACCACAGGTTATCAGTTTGGATGTTAATTGGAAATTATGGTTCCCACAGATTTCCAAAGATCGATTGCAACACACTGAGAAGGATGGAAGGAAGGAGCTGCATGTATGGGTACAAGGCTTGTTCATATCTAGCTTTATTAAGCTGATATGATTGCCCCAATGCAGATAAGTGTTATTTAGACCACAATCCTATATACCAGGGGTTACCAACCTAAGGCCAATGGGCCGGAAGTGGCCTGTGGAGGTCGTTTGACCAGCCCACGAGCTGCCCCCGAACCGAGTTGCCCGCTCACACGCTGCGCTAATCTGGTGCAGTGCAGCAAGGGGCCTCGCTTCTGCGGCGCCAGAAATTGCGTCTGCACAGACAGACACCAAAAATTGCAGGCAGGCATGCTCACACACGCAAGAGATCTGGCCCACAGAGGGATCTCTGCGGGACCGATCCGGCCCAGGCAAGATAAACCTTGCTGACCCCTGCTATATACATTTACTCCTATGTAAGACCAGCTGAATGTAGAATGACTTATTTCTAAGAAAACTTGTATAGAACTTCACTGTCAGACATACTGATCATATAACAATTTTATTATTTAATGCCACACTGCTCTTATACAAAATCCTGCCTCATTATGTATGTTGTCCAAATAAATCTTTGGGCCACAAGTGAAACCACAATGTCTTTTGAAGAGTAATTCTGTCATAGAACATTCATAGTTAACTCATTTTATAGTTAACTCATTGACACAACTCTTGAACTGCTAAAGTAAGAGGAAATCACCCTAAAAGTCCACTGAACTTTCCCACTCCCTAACACTTGCAGCCCTGGCAAATGTTGTAGTGAGTGAACTGCAGCATACCCAGCAGTTCCCATGATTATAAAGCTTTTCTATATCTTGAATAGAGAAATCCACTAATTCTTCTTTTTTCTAGGATCCTGAACAGGCTACACTCAATAAGAGCATCAATAGAAGTGCTGGGCTCACAGAAGGTTATGCCCAAAATTATTACTGTATTGAATAAAATTTCTGAAACAGATTTTGTTACTATTTTAGCGAGGTAGGGAACAATCAGCAACAGGAGTGAAACTGCCAGCATCTGGGCTGGATCTGGCCCATGACACAATACCATCAAGCCGGTAACAACTCTTGGTTGCACCTTTTCACTCAATTGTGTGCCTCAAGCCAACTGTATTTCTGCGCTGGGCGGGGAGAAAAGAGTTCTAATGTGTGGACCAGCCTTCAAATTGTAAAACAGTAACAAGCCAAAAACCAGCAAGGCAATCCATGAAAGATTATGCCATAATAATGTAAGTTTTCAAAACGTTACAAGATTCAGTTGCTTTTGCTGCAAGAGGTACCCCTTTGGAAATGATAAAAGTTAATTAATAGAGAATACAAGACTTCACACTGAGTGTTTTGGAGTCTCTCAGTATGTATGTTTGCATTATATAGTCAAGACTTTAACAATGATTTCCCCCCACTATATTTCACATATATGCTAGAAAGTTCAAAATTTAAGACAGCAGAGTAAGGAAGCTCTGGCCTGCAGGCCAAATTAGACGAATGAGGCCATTTCCCCCAAACCACACATATCTGCTGTACACCAGACATAATATGTGACACCAGGTATGGGGCAGGTAAAAGCTGCAAAGAACAATTGGGAACTTAAAGTGTGCTCCCAATTGTTCCTTGGTAAGCAGCACTCCCTGACAGTGCCAATAAGCTGATTTGTGCTGATGGATAACTTATCTGAAGTTGTCACCCAATGTCATAATGATATCAGGGGACTGACAGCTGGGCAGCCCTACCTACTTCTTGTAGTGACGTGCGGGTTGGTGGGAGAAGTGAGAAACTGCCTGGCCTGGGCTGCTACATTCCTGCCACTCTTGATATAAGAAAAGTCTAGCAATAACAAAAGAGTTATACTATAAGCTTTTCAATTCATCCGCCTGCACTTTAAAGGTTATAAAGGCTTTGTATAAAACATGCTTTTTGCATTAAACTACTGAACAAAAACATTCTGAATATATGCTTAAGGTAGATTACATACAAAGCACATAAAAACATATGCACACATACTGGCTTTTAGTACTAGATCTGTGGCCTGTTGCTGTAAACGTTCTCGAGCAGCTGCTAGTTCACTTTCAACCTCTTTGTGTTTGCTTAACAATGACATTTCCTCATCTTTGACATCATCCAACTGTTTTTGAAGAGCCTAAGAGAAGAGAAAACCATATTAAAAGGACAAAGTAATGTTTTTTAAATGGGACAACTATGAATGAAATTTACCAATTTATAAAACAAAGACTGCTAGCAACTTTCTTGCCTGGACATTCTTGCAGTGCTTTAGTCACAAAAGTCTGTGAGCCTCTTGCATACAAGCCTGATGTAACAATGTGTCTAATAATTAATTCCCCGCCGGCAAACATTTGCAGCTGTTCTAGTAAAATGTGTACATTTTATGGGACACCGTTCAAAGTAATAGCACTGTTAACAGAAAATTATTTGGTGAACAGTGAGTGCATTCTTTCCACAAAACGGATTGGATCTAAGAACCATGACTAGAAGGAGAAACAGCTAATAGTACCGTTCTGCAAAAGCTTGTTCAAGAGTTCACAAAGTACTCTAACAGATATTCTACAACAGTTCTCATGCTTCCGTTTCTCCAAAATATTGCAATAGCTCTTGCACAAATGGAAGAATATGAGTTAGTTTCACTTTTCTGGAACAGCACTTTACAACAAGGTATAAAACAGCCCCTCCATGGGAAGATATGTATTTATTTATTGCACTTATATCCCACCTTCTTTCCTCCAAACTCAAGGTTGTGTACACAGTTCTCCTCCTCCCCATTTTATACTCACAATGACCCTGTGATGTGGGTTAGGCTGAGCGTTAGCAACTGGCCCAAGTGAGCTTCATTGTTGAGCGGGTCTTTGAACCCTGGTCTCCCAGACCCTACTCTGGCATTCTGACCACTATACCAAACTGACTTCGGCAGAAGGTACATTTAGATCTACCCCAATCAACGCAGAAAACAATACAATGTTAAATATAATCCTTTCCTTTTACATTTGATGTGGCTGGGTGGGTGTACAGGCCCACAGGCCTCACACTCCATGATGAAAACAACACACACACACACACACACACACACACGGAAGCAAACAAAAATACTAAAACAGCAACATGACAAACAATCATGTTGATAATAAGATAATATGAAAAATAGAAGACATTTTTCTGAATGGAAAGAAGGGACCAGACAGGCTTCCACCATCAGGAAGGCTGTGTTCTAAGTACCCATCAAGCACAACTCAGGTGGTGCATTTTTAAATTGTATGGCCATTCAGATAAGTCAGAATAAATGTTCCAGTAATAGTATAGACATGTTGGCATTCTGCCCTGACAGAAAAAAATGCAATTTAATTAGAACAACATATTAAGTTCCCATTACAAAAATGAACTTTATTAAAGAGAATATGCCAACTTAAAAAGCAGCTTACAAGGAAAAAGGCATGACTAAGCTATGTGTGACTGATTGCAAATCAGTGTTATGTATTATGCATGCTCAATATATAATTTTTATCCCTTTTTCAAGCCTTAAAGCTATGTTAGATGACAGTCATAGAAAATTGATAAGTGCTTAAAGTGCACAGAGACAGAAGACTGAAAATGCCATTGTACTAAATATTAATGACTGCATTATTTAGCACAATATATATCAAATTTGCAGGAAGAATGGCAAGAAGAACCACTTCTTAGTCTTTGGGGCTGGGGGAGGTAAGTAAATCAACATTTAAAACACATGCATTTAGTCCCATGCGGAATAAAAGCAGGAGAATTGGCTAAGAACTGTCAAGTGATAACTAATTAGAAAAAGATGTTCAAGAACTATTAGAGTTCATGACTACACCACAGAAGTGAGATTTCAGTGAGGCAGCCTACATAAAATGAAAAGAAGAAAGCTAGAATACAAATTTAAGTTTTGAGGTAAGGATAGAAGAGATTTTAGTAACTTTTAGTCACAAACAGCAAAATCCACCAAAGTCTCATAATCCATTATTGGATACAAAATAGGTTAAATTGCAAAAAAGTTTATTATTAATATTACTCACTATGGTAAATTTACATACCACCCTTCATGCATAGATCTCAGAGTGGTTCACAAGATAAAAACACAACATTCATAATAAAAACAAGAACAAAACTAAAACAAAATAATAATTCCCCTCCCCCTATCCGCTTCTTAGTTACACTTAAAAATACAGTGGTACCTTGGTTTAAGAACAGCTTAGTTTATGAACAACTTGGATTAAGAATGCTGCAAACCCGCAAGTAGGTGTTTTGGTTTGTGAACTTTGCCTTGGAAGCAGAACATGTTTCGCTTCCTGTTGAGTTTGTTCCATTTGTAAATTGAGTCCCCTGCGGCTATGGGAAAGCACACCTTGGTTTAAGAATGCTTTGGTTTAAGAACAGACTTCCGGAACGGATTAAATTTGTAAACCAAGGTACCACTGTAACCATCCCATCCCAGGAGAGTAACTCTTTTGGCATGCATGTTTAGTTTATGTGCTCATCTGTTCAAAACAATGGAGAACCCAGTAGAAGGGTAACAACCTTTTACCATGGAGGAGAGGGAGCATGTGACTGCAAGTTCACACACACAGCACTAAACAATGTTTTTGCATAATACAGTGGTGCCTCGCAAGACAAAATTAATTCGTTCCGCGAGTTTTGTCGTCTTGCGATTTTTTTCGTCTTGCGAAGCACGGTGTCGGGAAAGTTTTGGAAAAGCTTCAAAAATCACCAAAGTCTTTAAAAACCTCAAAAAAGGCTACCACACCGCGTGCTATGAGTTGCTCCTCGAAGTCAAGTCGCAACTGTATTAACGGTGTTAAGAAAAAGGAAACAAACTTGCAAGACGTTTCCGTCTTGCGAAGCAAGCCCATAGGGAAAATCGTCTTGCGAAGCAGCTCAAAAAGCAAAAAACCCTTTTGTCTAGCGAGTTTTTTGTCTTGCGAGGCATTCGTCTTGCGAGGTACCACTGTATGTAACTAGGATGCAGAGAATCAAAAGATATTTTCTGAGTTCACTCCATTGCAGCCCCCTATGTAGCATCTAAAAGCCACTCCTTTGGGTAAGGGCAATGCTCTTATAAAAGGTAAAGGTAAAGGACCCCTGGACAGTTAAGTCTAGTCAAAGACAACTATGGGGTTGCGGTGCTCATCTTGCTTTGGACCAAGGGAGCCAGTTTGTCCACAGACAGCTTTCTGGGTCATGTGGCCAGCATGACTAAACTACTTCTGGCGCAATGGAACACTGTGATGGAAACCAGAGTGCACAGAAATGCCATTTACCTTCCTGCAGCAGCAGCACCTATTTATCTACTTGCACTGTTGTGCTTTTGAACTGCTAGGTTGCCAGTAGCTGGGACAGAGCAATGAGAGCTCACTCTGTTGCATGGATTTGAACCACTGACCTTCCGATCAGCAAGCCCAAGTGGCTCAGTGGTTTAGACCACAGTGCCACCCACTCCCTTTTGTTCTCTTACCATGGCAATGGCGCCTACCTGTGAGGTGCTGGAACTGAGTTCCAGTGAGTTCAAGCTGAAAAAAAGTCCTGGGTCAGGGGACCCCCTAAAATGGTGTCCAAAGTGAAGCTGGTGGCTTCAAGCTGAGGCTGGGAAATTGGTGGGGTGGTATCCAGTGCTCCCATTCCAGCAGTGCAAGAGATGTGTGCAGGTTGAACAGAACTTTTTATTCCTCTTCTCCCCTGCACTTCCCAACCTCAAAATCAGCTTTGGAGGATTAGGAGACTCTCCAGAGAAGATTTGGGGAGCATGGGGAGGAGGAGGAGAAACATCAGCAGAACTCCACTGGCACTGCTTTGGATACAAACCCAAATTTGTTGCATCAATATAAGTGTCATCTGCTTGCCCAAGGGGTCCCGGGATCAAAGCCACCAATTTTAACTGTTAATTACTTCATATTGTCATTTGCTTTCACTGTTAGAAGAAAATCTACTGTAGTTTCACCTGGAAAAACTGTATCATAGTTTTGGATATAAACTTGAACAAATGCCATATTTAAATGTTTCACCCTCTAAATCTACTGTAAGGTGAGGAAGGCAATGTGTTTCTGCAGCTAGCACAGCAACAGGCCCTTCAGCAATCTAAAGTCCCAAAGGCAGGAGGAAGGAATAGCCATCCTCAAAAACCATCAATATGGTAAAGTAGAAAATAGAATGACTGGATCCTTTATATCAGGAATGGCCAACTGGTGCTCCTTTAGTAGGAGTCATCCTGCTGTTTGCTTCAACCTGTCTCCATCTCAGCATCTGGTGGCCTGAGAGAGAGAGAAGCAGTACATGACTGAATGCTAACAGAAGGGCACGTGAGGAAATTCTCTATTTAAGGTGGGGAGTGTTGGAAGTGCAGCTAACTCAGAAATAGAAGCTTTCATGGGGCTTTTTTGCATGGGTTATGCAACTTCCCAAGCAATCTGATGTGAAAGTAGAGTTACCCATGCCAAAACAGTTGTGTGAAACTTTTAAAATAGCAGTAGTGCATCACTCTTGAGTGCTAGGTTGAGGGATTCCCAAGAGGATTCTGCATTTAGGGCCATTATGAAGGCTAATATGCAGATATGTTCCATGCACTGCTTTTGGTTTGAGCAGTACTACTTCTCAGACAACTTGCAAGGGAAATAGCAGTGCCCAAGTGAACAGCACCCCACAAGGCACTACAGAGACTCATATTGAATGTCCTCACCTTTCACACTGAGAGGGCACCTGCCAATTTCAGCATGGGGACATGAACCTTGCTCTGAAGGTGTCTGGATCTCAAGTTGTTTGGTAAGGAAGCGTCTGGTACAACATATGAAAGAAGCTGACGATCACAGCTTAAAACCTCACAAGTAAGTAACTCAAAATTATTTATATGTTTTGGATACAACCGTGTCATCAATTAGCTTCACATCTTTTTCATTTATTTCAACTAAACTTGTGTGTAAGTAAATTAACAAAGTAGGTTTTTTTTATAAACACCTATCTTTGCACAACTTTTACAACCTAAATACCAAAAGCAGCAGAGTCAATATTAGTTTCCATATAGTAAGGGACAAAATCAACCAGAGTTTGACATTCCCCATCTGACTCAGATAAGAAACTAAAGGCCACTTCAAAACGTTTTATCAGTTTGTTTGTTTGTTTGTTTGTTTGACAAAGAAACTACTTTTGTGTAGAAAGAAACTGTTAGCTAAAATTCATGCACACATAAATTATTTCCTTGCATATTCAATATATGGAACACCCAGTAGAACACTCTATCCCTTAACTATACACAGATGCATTGTAATGCTTTTCACTATGTGTAACCACTTTGTGCTGAGGAAAAGCCCAGCAACTGAGACTTTGAGATCCAGTATGCAATAAGTCATTTATCATGTATATAGGAAAGATGTGAAATAGCCAAGTGGTAGTGACAAAGACTTGAAACTTCATAATCAACATACAAATGGTGAACCATCATTACTTCTTACAGGTTACATTACTTTTGTTCTAAACAAATAATGTAACAATTCTCATCTCACCTGCACATTGTTTTCTGCTGTGTTGAGTGCTACTTGAAGTTTCTGACATTTTTCTCGTAGACCACCTGCTTCATCCTGTACCATCTGCAATTCAGTCTTAAGTTTTCCCAGGTTTTTTCGTAAAACAGATTCTTGGCTTTGAAACTCCTTTCTTAGTTCTATTTCCTTCTCTTTGCAGGTCTTCAGGCTTTCAGCTGTAAATAGCTGCGACCTTTTCATAGTATCAAGTTCATGCTCATAGAAAGATTGAGCTTTGCTGAGTTTACCTTCATAGTCCTCAATTAGCTTTTTTCTTTCCACTCTTAGCTCTTCAACTTTGGCATTCAGTTCTTCCACATCCCGCCTGTGTAATTCTTCTAACTTTTCCTGTCCCTTATTTAAAGTAGCATTCTGGTTCTGATGGGTCTTTACAAGTTCCTGGACCTCAAGTCTATGTGCAGCTCTTAGTTCTTCAAGAGCTGAACGTTTATCCTTTTCCAACTGCACTTGTAATTGTATAAAACTCCGCAACCTCTCCTCAAACTTCTTTCTAATTTCTTCTACTTCCCGTGACATAGTTACTACACGCTGAACATGCTGAGCTTCTGCACAAAGTTGCATATCCTCAACTCTGTCTTTATATGCTTCAAACTCAGTTAAAGCTTGATGCTTCATCTTTTTATGATCTTCCAATGACTCTTCTAAAACCTGGATTTTTCTTTTGAGATCCATTTCCTCAGAAACTTTACTCTTATACTGCAGAATCTTTTCTCTGGTTTCTGCAATAATTTGTTGGATTTCTTCTTCATGAGCATCTTTGAGGGCTTGAATAGCAGCCTCATGTTCATCATTCTTTGTGTTCAAAGCATATATTACCTGCACAAATACACATATAAAAGATTACTTCATTACTCAGAAAAAAGAATTTCAAAATAATCTGACAGGACACTTTGTGGCATGGTACTGAAAGCCACATGTCATTAAAAGTGATGTTTTATCGTGCTATTAAAATGACAGCAAGTACAAAGAATACATTAATATTAAAGAATAAGTACATTAAGTTAGCAAAAGCAAAAAAGGCTTGACTTCTTTTTGTGATAAAGGTAAGCAGGAATGCTAGCAAAACGTTTTGAAACTAAACAATACCTATCAGTTACATTTACAAATTTCATTATATATCTTTGTTTAGCTAAAATATACATATATGGAGCATCTATCTTCCTCTGTGCCTACTTGTCCCTTAATATCAAGCAGAGAGACCTTCCTAGAGACCCCTTTTGGAAAGGGAGTGATGGGGACTCTGAGCACAGCTTCTCAAGGGTGGCCAGAATCCTTTGGAGTCATCTAATCTGGGGCGCAGAGAAGACTGGCTATTGGCCAATTTATGATGAACCAGTTATTGCCTCCTGGTTGCTGGGATTCTTGCAAAGAATGCTGGAATAAGTTGACCAAGATTGATCATGTGTTCTCAGGCAAGAGCACATACTCAGAATCACACCAAATAAATATGTTATTCCTTAAATCAGGGATTCCAAAACTTTCTACTCACAAGGCTCACTTGAGATGGTTGAAAATTACTAAGGCACTCCAGTCACAAAATGGTGGTGCAAGGAAAGAGCCTGTCACAAAATTGGGGGGGGGGGAGGCAAAGGAAAACACCTGGCATAATCCACTAGCAATCACTGGCATCCTTTTCTGCTGATATTCAATCTATCTTTGAAAAATGCTAAATTCTTTACCACAGCTTTTCCCTTGTAGCAAAGATTTACATAGGTCAGCTTTCCATATGCTGAGTCCAGACATTTGCTCTGGAGACATTAGGACAGTCTCCCCATTTTAGGCATAATTTACTGTTTCCCAGTCTAGGGCTTCTAAGTGGCCAATACTTTTTCTTTTTTCCTCTCCCCACCTCTGCATGTCCCTGAAATTATTTTTTACACATCTTCTGAAATATCTCCATTCACACTCAATTCGTGCCTAATTCCCCCCCCCCCAAAAAAAACCCCATGGTTCTTTCTTCCCCCCTCTTTCTAGATTTCTTAAACATGACCCCTGGACATTTTTCCTCAGAGGCCTTGTCCCTCTTTAACCAACAAACTTCTTTTGCATCCTAGCCACCTCTATCTAGCATGCAAGGAGCTGCTGGTGCTAGCATGAGTCAAACCAAAACGTTTGCCAAACACAGCTAAGGAACAGAGAAGGCAAGTAAGAGACACTCAACAGCACGTGGCACTGAGATCCACCTGAAAATGGCTCAGGGTTTACTAGCGGGTCCCACTGATTGGCACAATCCATCACAACACTTAAATATGCTTAAACACACCAATTTCAGTGGGCTTCAGTAAATCAACTATGGCCACCCAAGCCTAGTTTTGTGTTGATTTGTAGCCAGTCCTGTTTCTAATATTCATCTAAAAGGCAATTTTGGATGAAACTAAAATGCAACCCTACAGACATCATTTGCAACTGTGTGTGTGTTTAAAGGTATGTGAGGGTACCAACGAGGCTTTCTTCCTGCAACTTGTAGATTTTGGCAGGAGAGAGGTCTTGGTCAAGACCATAACAGAAGTGGAAGGTTTGTACCAAATGGTGTTACTCAGCTTTTTATTAGAAACCCCCAAAAGTTATTAAGCTTTTTTTTACAAAAATGTGAAAATACCACAATTTTTCAATTGACTTCCTACGATTCAGGACAAAGTACCACATTTTGGAAATTCCCCACGAACATCAATGCCACCTTTGAAATCCCAGTAATGGCAGCCCTATGCTAGGTTCCTAATAAAAATAGCCCTTACATACCTATTTTTTTAACTGGCATATTTGAAAATGAGGTATTCAACATCATGTCTGATTTGCGTTCAATAGGTCTGTGTTCAATTGGAGTCCAAAAGAAAGATGGAGAGCCCTGAAGAGATTGGAGGTGCAGAAGGGCTTTGTTTACGCTGCTTAGCCTCCCTAACAGCTGATGTGAGGGGTAGCACAGCAGCAGCAGCAGCAGCAGCTACTGATACTGCTTTTCCATTCGTCCTACAGCTTACTGCCAGCTCCCAGAGCTTTAATTCTAGTTGTTGATATTTTTGAACACAGTATTTTCAGATTAGATTGAAGAAAAAGCGAAAGAGAGAGCATTTAAAGGGTGTTCCCCACTTTACACAGTTTCACTTACGTGTGCAGGGGCCCAGAACATAAGTGGCAAATTGCCTGTACAGTAATTTGCCCCACATAAGTAATTTGCCCCACATAAGTAATTTGCCCCACATAAGTAATTTGCCCCACATAAGTGGCAAATTGCCTGTACAGTAGTTTAAAAAATGCATTGTGTTGGACAAAAAGGAGTAAGAACAGTGCAAAGATTGCACTAGACAAGAATGGAAAAATTGTTCAGTTTGTGATCTACTCTGTATATCAGACTTTTAACATAGACAAATATTGCTTTGATATGGTAAGAAACACAAACACAGCTGGGCCACTCATGATGCAAGCCTCCCCCAAAGAGATATTAAGAACAATTTCATTTCTGATAGGCAACTTTTTCCACCTCACTTCAGTTCTTACACATTAGCCCTGCAGGAAAGAAAATACTCCAAGTATTTTTTCTCTCAACCCTAACAAAAAGGAACGATAAAAGCATGCACTGTATAATTTAACAACCTTGAGTAGTCTAGCCATTACAAAAAAATAAAAAATAGAGAGTAATAAAATGGAAGACATTTCTTATCGGAGGCTGTGCTCCTCAATGCCCTTTCTTCATGAAATCCCTGGTTTATTTCAGAAGCACTGGCACATTTATTTAAATAATGCAGCTGTTAATTTTTGAAAAACCTGACTCACAGCCTTTCCTTGCTAAGCCTACACTGTGCCTTCCCAAGTGTGGGAAGGGAGCCACCAAACACCAAGGTTGCAGAATGAGCCAGTGGCTTCAAGTTCCTAGCTTTCAGAACTGGGCCCGGAAGTAGTCCACAGTCCAACTCCTTACCAATATACTTTAAGCTGGGTGAAACTTGAACAGGTACTGCTTTGCCTTGCTACCCATCCTTTGAGGCATTAACCTTAGAGACTTTAAACTTAAGGGAAATGAGTGACCAAATATATACATCAGAGGTACCAATCCTCCAATTTCCCATGGCTGACCGGTACAATGATCGTCAGATTCATGCTGACCATTGTCATGAAGATATACATTTCAATGCTAAGGTGTAGGATGAAAAGTATTATGTAAAGTTTAAACAAAGGAGGGAAATGTTGCTAGTGTATATAATTATAATGCATTTAATACTTCTAAACAGTTTTAATTTTGTGAACAACATTGGGAGGGGTTGCACTAGGCAGGCTAAAAATTCACACATGGATCTAGACACATAGCACAGTACTTGTACTATATTTTAATTGGTTTTAAGCTGTCCTGTTCATTTCACAGTAGCTTAACATTATTTGTATAAATTCATATTTTGCACATAAACTCACATGACTTTAGGTAGAATTACTATGTGCAACATTAGAAACTACTAGCAAAGGTTATCTATTATTTTATTGGATTCATATCCCACTCTATCCCAGGGGCTCAGAGCAACATAAGTTTCCCCAAATGCTACTACTTCTGCCCAAAGAGTTCACAACCTATAAAAGAAATTTACATTTACAAATCACACTACTTTAGATTTAGACTGTCATATGCCTTGGGATGAGTCTATACAAACTGGTTTAGATGTCTGAACATTTATTGCAGTCAAAAGCCTTAGGACTCTCTCCCGCCTTGTTTGGCAGAAAAACAATTTTTACTCCAGAGCAGATGGCATATTCTTGCATGATCAACTGTAGATGGGCTATTATCTGCTGCTAGCAATCTCATCAGCATGATGCTCTTTTCATCCTGACTAAATCCTATGTGTTGTCCTGCCTATACAGTGGTACCTCGGGTTAAGAACTTAATTCGTTCTGGAGGTCTGTTCTTAACCTGAAACTGTTCTTAACCTGAAGCACCACTTTAGCTAATGGGGCCTCCCGCTGCTGCCGCACCGCCAGAGCACAATTTCTGTTCTTATCCTGAAGCAAAGTTCTTAACCCGAGGTACTATTTCTGGGTTAGCGGAGTCTGTAACCTGAAGTGTATGTAACCCGAGGTACCACTGTAACTGCTAGATCATACCAACCAGGATTTTTTTCAGCCAGAACTCAATGGAACTCAGTTCAGCCACCTCTCATGCGGGCGCCATTGCCGTGCTAAGAGAATGAGAGGTGCTCATGGTGAGTTCTGGCACCTCTTTTTCTAGAAAAATAGCACTGATACCAACCATAGGGTAAGATGCTGAAGTGTACACACAGCTATGCCTCAACAGCATACCAAAATATTTACCATAGTGCTACTTTTTATTTATTAAATTTCTATCTGGCATTTTATCTGCTGCTTTGCATGACATCTTTGGGGGAAGAAAAGACTAAGGAGACAATCCAGAATGGAGTCCCTAAAATGGTTGAATGGTATCTTGTATGCCTCCTTCCAGCAACTCCTGCAGCCAAGCTAAAGTTTTGCTCTGCTTTCCTTTGGTCCCTATCAGTGAGGCAAAGAGAAGGATTTTGTCATCTGGTAAGCCCAGGAGCTCCATACACACTGCCCAGGCAAAAACAATGTGGGAGGCAGCAGTTACAAGTTACCAGTCTCTGCAGCAACAGCAGGTGCTGTGATTCTCCAGCAATTTGACTTCACCCCCAGAGGCACACTCCATTGTCTCTTGACACAGACAGATACCAATAACAAATCCTGCCTTTCCTCCAAAGAAGAAGGGTGGCAAATATGTCAATACTATAAACAATACAATTGCAGGGTGGCAAATATGTCAATACTATAAACAATACAATTAAATCTTCTTAAAAAATTTA